GCTGGCAGCAGCCCAACACGCTGGATTACTCCAGATTTTCTTCCACTTCAACATCTTCGTGGTCTCTTGGACGATCTGTATAATCAACGTCACAGACACATTTTTGTAGGTTATTTTTGTAGTGTCATTTGTTTTTGAAATAGGCCGAATTAATTATGGGACTACCCTCTCCCTCAGAGCTTACAGGTGGCGCGCCCAAGTTTCTGAGGTGAAGGTAGTCTCTCTTTTAAAATGTCGGTCATTTATCCAAATTATTATTGTAGGTTATTTTTGTGTTGTCATTTGTTTTTGAAATAGGCCAAATTAATTATGGGGCTCCCCTCTCCCTCAGAGCTTACAGGCAGCGCGCCCAAGATTCTGAGGTGATGGTAGTCTCTTTCTTGATATGTCGGTCATTATCCAAATTATTATTGTAGGTTATTTTTGTGTTGTCATTTGTTTTTGAAATAGGCCAAATTAATTATGGGGCTCCCCTCTCCCTCAGAGCTTACAGGCAGCGCGCCCAAGATTCTGAGGTGATGGTAGTCTCTTTCTTGATATGTCGGTCATTATCCAAATTATTATTGTAGGTTATTTTTGTGTTGTCATTTGTTTTTGAAATAGGCCAAATTAATTATGGGGCTCCCCTCTCCCTCAGAGCTTACAGGCGGCGCGCCCAAGATTCTGAGGTGATGGTAGTCTCTTTCTTGATATGTCGGTCATTATCCAAATTATTATTGTAGGTTATTTTTGTGTTGTCATTTGTTTTTGAAATAGGCCAAATTAATTATGGGGCTCCCCTCTCCCTCAGAGCTTACAGGCGGCGCGCCCAAGATTCTGAGGTGATGGTAGTCTCTTTCTTGATATGTCGGTCATTATCCAAATTATTATGGTAGGTCATCTTTGTATTGTCATTTGTTTTGGAATAGGCCAAATCATGGGTATACCCTCTCCCTCAGAGCTTACAGGCGGCGCGCCCAAGATTCTGAGGTGAAGGTAGTCTCTCTTTTGAAATGTCGGTCATTATCCAAATTATTATTGCAGGTCATCTTTGTACTGTCATTTGTTTTGAAATAGGCCAAATTATGGGGCTACCCTCTCCCTCACAGCTTACAGGCGGCGCGCCCAAGATTCTGAGGTGAAGGTAGTCTTTCTTTTAAAATGTCGGTTATAATCCAAATTATTTTTGTACGTTATTTTTGTAGTGTCATTTGTTTTTGAAATGGGCCGAATTAATTATGGGGCTACCCTCTCCCTCAGAGCTTACAGGCGGCGCGCCCAAGTTTCTGAGGTGAAGGTTGTCTCTCTTTTAAAATGTCGGTCATTTATCCAAATTATTATTGTAGGTTACCTTTGTACTGTCATTTGTTTTGAAATAGGCAAAATTATGGGGCTCCCCTCTCCCTCAGAGCTTACAGGCGGCGCGCCCAAGATTCTAAGGTGATGGTAGTCTCTTTCTTGATATGTCGGTCATTTTCCAAATTATTATTGTAGGTCATCTTTGTACTGTCATTTGTTTTGAAATAGGCCAAATTATGGGGTTCCCCTCTCCCTCAGAGCTTACAGGCGGCGCGCCCAAGATTCTGAGGTGAAGGTAGTCTCTCTTTTGAAATGTCGGTCATTATCCAAATTATTATTGTAGGTCATCTTTGTATTGTCATTTGTTTTGAAATAGGCCAAATTGTGAGGCTACCCTCTCCCTCAGAGCTTACAGGCGGCGCGCCCAAGTTTCTGAGGTGAAGGTAGTCTCTCCTTTTAAAATGTCGGTCATTTATCCAAATTATTATCGTAGGCCATCTTTGTACTGTCATTTGTTTTGAAATAGGCCAAATTATGGGGCTACCCTCTCCCTCAGAGCTTACAGGCGGCGCGCCCAAGTTTCTGAGGTGATGGTAGACTCTCTTTTGAAATTATAATTGTAGGTTATTTTTGCAGTGTCATTTGTTTTTTAAATAGGCCAAATAATGGGGCTTCCCTCTCCCTCTGAGCTTACAGGCGGCGCGCCCAAGATTCTGAGGTGAAGGTTGTCTCTCTTTTAAACTGTCAGTCGTCAACCACAGTATTATTGACTTTTCATTTTCCCGAGTTCATAGTGGCAACTTCTTTATAGTTTTACGTGATTTGCGCCAAAGACAAGACCAGGCTAACAAATTTATTCTACTTTATGCGTGGTGCGACAGTCACCGTGGCTGACTGGCCTCCAAAGTTCCTTTATAATTTGGACGCTTCTCAGGAGTTCCTTCACTGGTTGTAATCCAGAATTGGCGATTCTCCGCAGCTTGAAGCTCTAGCATTGCATCAGTTGGTCCATGGACGGCGACCTTTTCTTGTCCCGAGTACAATATCGATTCTCGATTCTGGATTACCGTATCTTGCTCGTGCAAGGCTTCAGCAACGGGACCAGTACTAAGACCATTGCAGGAAAACTGTTTGGTAGAAGAAGAGTAAAATGGTGGCTTTCGGTGCGTTACCTGTCTGATGCTCGGTATATCACTGCCAAACTGCGCAACAGAATGCGCGAAAAACCCCTCCGGTACTTGAGAAAATACGATTTTTAATATCCACTTAAAAATCTGAGCGATGTGATTTAGTAACTTATTCATGGTGTTTAGCTTCCGGTTTATTCAGCTTATTGCCAGTTGTAGGCAAAATACACGCGCACATTATCGCACTCTCACTGGATCGATTGTGAGGAAACTCTTATGTCAGTCATTGACTAAAAAGCCCCGCGCGTTAACTCTTTGTGCGACGGACGTCCCTTACAAATATAAATTGCCCACACTGATCGCCAATTCTACTTGCAAAGTGTTGCTGATTGAGTTGTGTAATGTATTCTAGAGAGTAAATTTAGTACTAACCTCGCAGACAAGGATGTAATGAGGCATTTATTTGCGTAGTTATGCCTGCTATCCATTGGGCAAGCATTTCTTTTATTTTCTTTCGATAGCCTGTCCATGCACTAACCTTTGGGTACAGAAACTAGCTGCCCTTCGCAGTACCAAAACTTGATAGTTTTGGCGTTCAATATTTTTAACGGGTGCACACAAAACACCGGGACTGCATCGTACGCCTTTGGCGCTTTGGTACCCTGCGAGCTTTGGTTCATCGCCTTTGAAAGATGGAAATTTTGATATTCCCGCGCAAAAGACGACTGATAAAACGTGTCTTTCATTGACTACAGTGAAACGTCCGGAAATAACGGAAGTTTTGAAAGAAACGGGAAAACTGATAAAATTAAATATTTGTTTTGATAAGTGAAATTACTGAGAAATAACGATAAACTAGTTTTGTTTTTTTGTTTTTTAAAAGCGGTTTGTCTGGTACCAGATTTGTATAATTACTTTCAATCAAGCGTCGATCGGGTTTTGTTAATTATGACAGAATGTAATTAAAAAGCATTATGTTGACAGCTACAAGGCACATGCTTGCCTTAAGCTGCGAGTATCCCGCCATGTTTTAAACAAAGGGCTTCCGACTAAGCCGGCATTCTAATCCGCCACAAATATGTAAAGCACGCGTCTTTCAAAGTCGCCTAGTACTTAAAATCGGGGCTCTGGCCTGTTATCTCACGTGGTTTCAAATTCAAATAAATGTAAAAAAGGAAAGTCAATCGTGCAAATATCTTTTGCAGAAAAATAGTAACGCAGTAGGGAGCGTGATCTTCCAAACCATCTTTTCTCCAAACTTTCGTGATGTGGTATAGGTGCTGCCATCCAACCCGACTAATAATTTAAAAAGGCAAGTAGAATTTTTGTGGCTGTGCAAAGAAAGCTAATCGACCGTGAGAAATCAAGGAGTCCTTCCTGACTCCTTGATTGTAATCGTAGTCGAGCCCGCAACATTAAAAAAGCGGCTGCTTGTGAATTGATTGGCTTCAAAAAAGGGTGCAATTTCCAGCTAAATTTATTTATTCGAGTCATTCTGCATATATTTCACTCCGCATAATTATGCCCTTCCGCAAGTCATGCCACATGCCATTCCACAAACTCATTCCGCCTTTCAACCTCACCGGTAATAAAAGACATCATTAAGCGAAAGTCTTGCTTCGAGGAACGTTCATGCATTACAGTCTGCAGACACAAATCGCCGCTCCTTTTTTTTATACAAGCCCTTACACACCAGTGTTTCGTTCATCTGCTACCCAAACTCCAACGTTTCAGCCTCTCAAACGAGTGTGGATTAATCTGCAACATACACGTGTAGCCGACACATATGCTGTGGTTGAATTTCATGCTTGGTTTAAATTTTATTTTCTTTTGTTTCAAACTCATTATTATACTTTACCACACCCCCCAAAAAAGAAATAAAACAGCCCACGTTCGTTATACTAAACTTCTAACATGACTCGGAGGCTTTCTGGTCATTTACCTATATTTGGTTTGGTTTTCTTTGTGTTTTCAAGTCCCTTCTGGGAATTGCGAGAAAATGGAATCCTGAAAGATTTGCAATTTTGTCCCTAAGGACTCGGAGTCATGTTAGAATTTCAATTTATCGGACGTGGGCTAATCCATGGATAAAATTAAACCACAACATACACACTGTATATATATGGTAAGAAGTGGAAGTGTATCAAAATCTAGATCTGGACCGCTGGTCGGGTGCATAACCAATCATAGATCCCCCATGGAACCAGACTATCAGCAGAGCCTTTCTTTCATTTGCTCGATTTTGGCGTACTCAATAAAGACTGCACGAACCGAGTAAGATCTTTGTTGAGCATGCGCGGCATGTTGCTAGGATATAATTTCGAACCCAGGCCTAACAGCCATGCGCTTGCTACAGCGGGCTCGGTTACAACCATCGGTTTATCAATAAAGGGACGCTCGCACTACGAAAAAACAGTTTGACGGGAGAAAAGGAGATTGACCAGTCCAGACGCTCGGGCTGCGGCGACCCCAAAGGTTTGACATGATTTAAGCAGAGCTTCCTTTACTCCTCTCTCAAGTAGACAAAAAGAGGCTCTACTCTCGGGTTGCCATAGAAACCTCTACAGAGATGGATGGAACGATACACACAAAATTGTTTCGTAGACATGTCTCTCTTGTTTAATTGCATTATGACCATTGACTAGCATAAATATGCTAATATTATATTTAGGACGAAATGTGAATACCCATAATTGGATATTTCAAGATTTTGCTCAAAAACAAGCCCCTGGTAATTGGCAGATTATAATTACTTAACAACTAACTCAACAACAACTTAACAGACCTTTCCTTCATTCTTCAGTGAAAGGACTAAAATAAATTTTAAACTCAACGGCATGTCCCGTGATACCAGGTCGCCGGAACGTTTTTAATTCATACTACTATCAAACGATAACCACACCTTAGCCTACATAGCCGCGGTTACGCTCGTGAGCGCCACAGCGAAACTGACCTATACCTAATTCAGAAAAGGTTGCTTTGGCAACTGGGCATTAGGACATACGAAACTCAGGCAATGAAATGCTTGTGTGGCCAAACAATAGTATAGCTTCCCAATGCGTAATAGGCTATATTTTCGAGTAGCCCCAAGCCTCTGTTCAAAGCGAGGCTAAGGCTGAATTTATATTTGATTTGATAACGTTTCTTTACTCGTATGCAAATGAAAGTCATCATCACTAGAAAGGTTTTACACTTGGCTTCGTTTTGAAATTGAGAATTTTTGGAACTCGGAAATGGCCTACGGCCAAAGCAACTTTTTTTAAATCAGGTACATACATTGGATAAGGCCAAAGCGCTTAAATATTAACCAACCAAACTGCGAAACTTGTGAAAAGAGGGGCTTTTTACGTTATTGTCTTTCACGCTATTACCAGACGCTCAAGATACAGAGTCGGTCGTTTCCTTCTTAATCTGATGACTCCACACATTTTAAAGCAATTTTAACAAAACGCCTGGTCCAGGTTCCGCCGAAAGAATGGTTAGGGCTCCAAAAATACGAGAAGAAACGCAACGAACATCTCTAAGTTTGTCAACAGAAATGGTAAACTAAACGGTTCATTTCTCAAGTTCCACAGTTACTCCATTTCTAATAGGCCTTCTTTCCATAACGAAGTCACCAACAAATGACGCTCCTTGTCTGAAAGCTGTAGGCTGTTGACGGTGATGTACTCCTCCCGGTCTGCTGTGATCTGTCGCAGGGCCTCCTTGTATCGGATGGGGAACTTCAAAATTGAACAAGGCTACAATGAAAGTATCAAGGATCAGCTTACCATTTCTGCAAGTCCGTAAGGTGATCAATATCAATTTTATCCTCACAATATGAATAAATAATTAAGAGAAATGGTCGTGAGAATTAATAAGATAATCAGTTAACGCTGAGCGGACCTGGCCCTTTCCAAAGCCTTAACACTGCCCAAGACTCGTTTAAAAGGTACGAGACATGGACCAACCCAAAAATGTATTTGCAACGATGAAAGCACTACTAAAATAGTAGTTTTATTACTGCTATCACTACTGCTATAGCAAAATACCCCACATTAGTTTCGCGTGGTTGGTCAGCGATCAATCGTACACATACTCGCAGCGCTGGAACATCGGGTTTGTTTTTCATCCACGGCTACATGAACTCCAACTTCATGTGCTTGACCTTGTCCACTTTACATTCTAGTTCTTTTAAAGACAATTGATACCTCCTTCTGGTAGGTTGTTGAAAGGGCATTAAAGCCCCGCCGTCTCAATTAACCCCCCCCCCCTCAAATGTGCTTGAAACGAATAAGCTTCCGGGGGAGAAGTTTTTTTTTACAAAGGATTAAACAGTAGGGTACTTACACTCTTGTCGCCCATCATGTGCTTGGACCTGTCGTTCTTGACTGAATGAAGAACCAAAATATACTCTTCTCCTCCAAATCCTTCACCTCCATCTCCACTTTCCTCGTAATCATCCTCTTCCTCCTCGTCTTCTTCCATCTCTTCTTCGTCTTCCTTATCTGATTCATTATTCTTACTTTTCTTTTTCGTGTCTTTCTCTTTCTCTTTCTTCTTAGCTTTCTGCTTTGCTTTGTTGTCGCTCTTGTTCGTACCTTTCTTGTCCCCTTTCTCACTCTCCTCCGGTTCCTCCTAACATAGTTAGCATAAGACACCTCTCTCAGTAAGGGTTGGTTTCCACTGTCGCGTAATTTTTACGTGCACACGCACGTAAATTTTGCGCGCGTAAATAAAATAGTGGCAATGTATGAAAGGCCCACGCGTAAATGTAAAAGTTGAGCGAGTTTCAACTTTTACGTTTATGCGTGACCTTCCCAGGATGCATTAGAGAGTTTAAGCTTCACGTGTATACGGCAAACGTCAGATTCAAGTACACAATTTCTCAAAAAAGAAAAATGAGCAGATAAAAACACCTCAAAAAATTTCTTATGGATAATTAACAAATCGCATGAAACTACTAAATTATGTGTAGAAATAATGAACAGTAAACGACAAGTTAAGGGGAAACTTGGTCACAAGGCACAAAAACGCGCTTGCCGTTTGACGTTAACGTGATGTTTAACCTCTTTATTACCTCTATTTTATTTACACGAGTAAAATTTACGTGCGTTCGCACGTCAAAATTACTCGACAGTGGAAATCCAACCAAAGGGTGTCACTGTCGTTACTTCGCTTTGGCGCTGCCAGTCTGTCACGCGTTTCTTCTCCACGAACGCCTTTTGTTCTAGAGTAACGCGTAACGTAGCTCTTAGAACGTCTGCATGGGATCGGAGGCTGGCTGCATCCCAAGCGCTCTGCGTTCGTTCCAATCACCCCTATTCGCGCTTGTAGCTCATTTCCAGTACCCCGCTTTAAGGCTGCGCTCTCCGCTTGAAAAAGCTCGTGGACAAGGCCGGAAGGTTAGTGCTGCAAATACCTTGCATAGTTTTTAAGTAGGGCCGCAGGGGACTAGTGAGATAGTACCATTACGAATTATAAAATAACTAAGATAGTACGCGCGCTCTGATTAGCTGAGAGGAGTGTTTGCATGAGAGTATGTAAACACTTTTCGCGCGCTAATCACGCAAGCACTAATTTGAAAAAGTTTTCAAGTACAAAACTCGACAAGTTTACTTTATTTACCCATTCCTTCGTCGGCTGAAAGTTGGAAAATCCTTACGAAGAAAGTGAGTTTTAAGTGTGTCAATTTTTCTTCGCTTAAGGTAACATTTTAAGCGAGAAAAGTCCGTATTTTGGAAAAGATCTTTTTTCAAAACAAGAACTGATTACGCGTGCAAGACTTCGTGGACAAGACTTTGTGACTGGTAAGAATTTTCAGTGCCATACAAAGAGTTTTGCGTTTTTTCTCGGGAAATTTATTTTATAAAAGCAATAGAAAACTTTTTTCCTGTGTTTGCATAGCCTGATAAAAACACTCGAGGCGTTGGGAGAATTCTCGACAGTTATGCAAACCCTCGACTTCGTCTCGGGTTTGCAAAATGTCTCGAATTCTCCCAACCCCTCTCGTGTTTATATCAGGCTATGCAAACACGGAAAACGTTTTCTATTGCTTAATTATATGCTAAGTTTCACACCTCTTCCTCTTCTTCGCTTTCTTCCTCATCGTCTTCTTCTGCCTCGGAATAATCTTCGTCTCCGGCAACACCGTCCGACAAGTCCCCGATTAAAACTCGCACATGGTCCGGATGAATCAATCTGATCTTGCTGTCGTCGGAAGGCGCAGCACTTTTCTTTTTGCCTATCACGCAGAAAATGTATCATAAGAATATCTGGACAAATATGTTACTCACTTCACGTGAACCTCATCCGCTGGGCCGATCTCATTTTCTAAGAGAAAAGCCCTGACACGAGGTATTTAATTAATGGGCCCGTAAAGCTGTTGTTGTTTACATGCAAGAGAAAGGTTTCAATAGTTTTATATCTAACATGACAAACCTATCAGTTAATGAAACAAAATGGAGTAGTTTGCTAGCCAGGACCCGCGCTCTTATTCTTTATATTTCGATTTGAATGTGTGTTTTCGGGCCCGAAAAGCTACCGAACTTTGGAGAAACGGGCCCCTGGGCAGAATAAAATGGAAACCAACCTTCATACCCCGAAAGAGACAAGCCGCGAGAAGGCAAAGACGTCATTTCCCATTCTTGATTTGGTGGAAGAAGGACCTCTTAATTTTACGTCTATTTTTTCCAAGACTGGGAACGAGATTGGAGACGCTAAAAGACAGACATATCAAGGTTGTCCTTTATTCAAGGAACTGGGATTATTAAACTACAGAATACAGGGCACCTTTTCTAGGTATATTCGTTGGGGCGCGGCTCAGTGGCTCGGCAGTAGGGACTGACGAGCCACCGAGCCACTAAACCTGGACTGAAGAGCCACAAAGCAGGCCGCCGAGCCCCTAAAATATTACCTTTCTCGTTTTTTAAGATGCTAACCTCGACTGACGAGCCATCAAGCCACTAAACTATATACCTATAACTATACCTTATATACTTTCTATAGACGTGCATTCATATCAACTGGTATACATTAACTTGTTCTTTAAATTTTGTACTTTTACATTTTTTTTATGTCTGTCATACTTATAGCCAGGTCTTATATCTTTCTCGTAAAAACATTTGTCATTACATTTACATACCGTATTTCGTCGAATAATAGCCGAGGGCGATTATTTCCTTTTTGGAATCAAAAGGGGGCGATTATTCGAGGGAGGGCTATTATTCGAGGAAATACGGTACATTTACGCGCCATAAGTTTTTAAATTATTATTTTTAAGTATTGTCACGACTAGCGAGCCACTTATGTTTAAGATCTTAAAATATGGCCCTGTATTTTGTAGTTGCACGTACTTAAACAAGGACAGTCTTACCATTTTTAGCGATCAGCGAATTTTTTTTCTTGAGTGCGGCAGAATACTTCAATAATGTCGGCTGCAGCCGACAGATCTTCGGCCGGACCCAGGAGCGGCGAAGCCGCGAGATAAAACTTTTCGCCCGGGTCACTATAACATAACCGAAACCGGTAACCGCACAAGATAAGTCTCTGGCACACAGAGTCATCCCAATGTCTATCATATCAAAGCCCTTTAAATCTGTTTATTGTTTTGCTTTCTGCTGAGTTATCGAGATTCTGTACCTGAAGGAGATTCATACGTGCTTAAATGTGCGAAGGGGTTGACGATACTAAGAACACAGAGCGAATATTTATCATATTGTTGTTCCCGCATCGCGTCACTTTGTTTGAAATGGCACATGTCGAGCAAACAAACCAAAAAAAAAGAAGAAACGTTGAGCAAAGCACTCTTTTGTTGCTTCTTCCTTAATTTCCATTTCCTAGCGACCGGGTTCGAAACATTGCTGTCGAGCTAGCCTGCTAGCAAGCTCTCCGGGACGCTCTGGTCGAGCCGTATTTTCACACAGAATTTTATATTCCCATGTAATAAGAGTCAATTCTTGCTATGTTTCTTTGATGCAGTAGATTTTCATAGAGATCCTGACTAAAACCATGACTGACTAACTCAGGAATACTCCTCGCTTCTTAAATGCTATGTTTTCTGGAAACGGTGACTCATCCATGCTACTTAGTTAAGAAGATCGATCGATGAACATTCAATGGTTAAAGAAGGAGTTTCACGGTGGATTATTTCGACGACAAGAGAAGAAACCGACCGAAAAAAAAAATTGGGTAAGTCACTGCTAGGTGCAGAAAAAAATTAACACGCGGATAAGCCATGATGCGCATGCGTGGTTTAAGAACTTATTAGATAGCGTAATACGCGCATGTCCCACATGCATAGTTCCCTTAAGTCCGACAAAACGTCAAAAGACAACAGCTTGCGTCAACTCTGGTTTTCCTTCAACACGCATAAATCTTTCGCCTTTTACTAAAGATTTCCGTGGAGGAGAACACTTGAATGAGTCTATAGACTAATTTTTCGTCGCCCTGCCTTGTGGCGGGGCTCCTAAACGTGATAAGAAGAACATAATATGCACACGCTTCCATACGTAACACAAATGACGCGACCACGATTTCCATTTGAGATGGAGGTAGGACAAGTTTCCCCTTTCAAAAGGTGTTAAACAGTTATAACAGCTAATATTCTAACGGTTTAACTCCGAGAGTTACGCGGCCGCTTAAAAGAGGTTAAAAACAATGGGAAATTCTAAGACCGTCATCCTAGAAAAGTGGTCGCGATCGCCTACAAGAGGTAATCGTTTAGGCCGGGTTTAGGAGAGGTTCCAGCTAAAGGAGCACTCGGCCTTGAAGGTTTGACTATCTGTAAAACTAATATCATAGTGGAGGCCTTAAGAAAAGTGTCTAGGAGCCCATCTTTCACTCGCAAACCAAGTTATGGCGGGTTTGTTTGTCATCCTAAGTTGGGAATCTGTGGATGAAATCATGGTCATGCAAGAACTCTGCCAAATGTTTCATGGTACAGTAGAACCCGTCGATAATTCGAACTCGGATACCTCGAACGCACCGCTAACTCGAACTAAGTTCTACTGCCTTGGATTTTACCCCACTTTTCAGTCACTTATCAATTAACTCGAACTCGAATTTCCCGCTAACTCGAACTAAATTTGTTTCCCCATAATCAATATTTCACTGAAATTTACCCCGATCACTCAAAAACTCTGTTTCTTGTAACCCCATTCGGATGCTATCTTATTAGTTCTTCTTGTTGTATAATCGGTAAACTACCGCAAACAGCTCACGCTTTATCATAAAAATGCATAATCATGTTACCGTTTCTAATAAAATAATAAATTATTTGCACTACGTGCCATACACTTGAGTGCTGAAAAATCAGTAACTATCATTATTACCATAGCAAATTAAACAATCAATCGACCCCGATAACTCGAACTTTGTTTCGTTTCCCTTCAGTGTTCGAGTTAGCGGGATTCTACTGTACTACTAATTTCTTAGGATTTTACAAAACGATTTCAAAATTTTTGTTGTGAAAGCTTAAGTTTCAATGGTCAATATTACAAGCAGGTCTGTGAAAGAGTTTAAGTCCTGAAATATCTTACACCACCACAACAACAAAATAACCAAAATATGCAAATAAAACCCAGAAATATTGTTAAAGGGGTCACGCCAAGGTGTAAGTACTTAAGCGACTTGTGAAGTAATGTCAATCTTTACTTTTGTGTCACAAGCAAACAAAAGACAATTTGGAAAAAGAGCCATAAACAGTTTATCAGACTACAGTTGTGCAAGACTGTTTTTCCATTGGCAACCACACTACATATTTAGACTGACTGTGATCTACCAAGGGAAAGATTGGGAAATCTGGACCCTTCTTTTTACAAGCAAGTACAGGATCAGGGCTCAAACGTTCCCCTAAATCGCACGATCCCAATTATAGGGATTGAAGGATTCAGGGAACGTTTCAGTTTAGAAGAAAGGATAAGCTCTGTTTAGTTGCCCAGATACCATGTCATTTGGTCAACGATTTCTAAATCTTTAGGTACATCCTTCTCTTTGCTAGAGCAGGTGCCTTTCTTGGCTTTCTCAAGCTGTGACTTTTTTCTCCATAGACATTCTTGTCACAAATTTGAAAACGTTTTATTTAATTACACCTGAAAATATTTACCTACCTTTTTTGACATCTTTTCCAACTCCTCCAAAGGGTGGAAGACGACATCCAAAGAAATCACGAAGCATATCATCAACAGCTTTATCAGGATTCAAGTGGCGCACCAGTCCTTTCAAAAGCTTGATCAAGTTTACATTAAACTCTATCTTTGGATTTCCTGGTTTGGCCTCTTCACCCTCAGCTTCTTTTTCATCTTTTTGTTGATTTCCATTTTGTTCTGATGAATCTTCTGTTTCAGTTTGGTCATGCTAGACATAAATTAAGCAAGTTAGTAAATGTGTAATTTAATAGTTACTCGTCATGACTGCCTTCCAACTACTTTCATGGTCTTATTCAAGACTACACCACAAACGACTATTTTGCCATCACTATTGGGAGCTTATCATATTTGTTCAAATACAAAAAAATGCCACTTTCAGGCCCCCCATCTACAAGCCCCCCTGGGGAGGGGGGTACTGGTCTGAAAACGGGTGTGGAAAATTACATTTTTTGGTCTGAAATATGGTCAGGATTTGGAGAACCGGGCGGCAGCCCCCCACCAAGAATCATTCCCAGGAGTACCCCCCCCCCCGGCAAGCCCCCCTAGTTAATTAACCCTTTTATGTCCCAAAAGTCACCAATATTAATTTTCTCTTTACAAATACATAATCAATAGAAGAGGTTCAGGAAATTACAGTCTAACCTCTCCTTACGGACACCTCTATAATACGGACACCTCTTTATTACAGACAGTTTGTTTGGTCCCAGAAATGCCAAAAATCATACATTCCCTACCTCTATAATATGGACACCTCTGTTAAGGTGATTCCCTGGTTTTGCACTGCGCATCTCTTACTGTGCATAACAAGATGGTGGCAGTAAAAAAGAGCATGTGAAGTAACATTATTAAAATGAAGTTGAAGGAAGAGAAACGCTATTGGAATTTTTGCTTGAGGTTGTTTCTTGCCAAGGTGAGACTCAATGTGTTGGGAATGTGCATAACGTAGGCAGTACGCGTGTTGCTGAGTTCGACTTCCTCACGGAGAATCTCGATAGTGGATGTTTAACTTGTGCTTACTCACTTTGATTTTTATTTAAACGCTTTCTTTATCACATTGTATCCTAAATGTGATATCTCGATGTAAATTCTGTAAAAACAGATTTTTTAATACTTCCTTCCCCCTTTCACATACATTCTGTTTTGAAACTCGCCCTAGTCCTCTCTCAAAACTTGGAGAAAATGCATTTGGTGCACACTTTCTACAGTTCTACCGCAAAAACAAGTACGGTGACCCCCATTTTTTATTTCATGATTTTAATAAGGACAGTGCTTCCTTTCGACGAGAAAAAAATTGGCTCAAATCTATGTTCAGTTTTTGGCAATTTTACTAAATTGTACGGATTGAGCTATCACGGGTCGAATAGCACGTGTCCAATTCAATTCTACTTTGGAGCGTAAAATAAAAACAGGAGCATTAAAAGGTATTTTTCTGGTATGTAAGTGGATAAACAATACAATAATGTCAAATTCTGTGCGATACCACATGCATTATCGAAAAAGTCTCTCGTTTTTGTCTAGTTTTGAGCTACGCGCGGTTTTTGACAAAGGGTCCAAAATAGCCGTATTTCTCAGCATTGTGACGTCAAAACAAGCACAGTGACCCCCACTTTTTATTACTTTTTTATCATCTTCTTGACTTGTTACATCAGTGTACCAAGTTTCATCTACAATCTATGTTAGGTTCTTTTACTAGGGAATCACCTTAAGCGGACACAGTCTTGTTCTGTCCCTTTGGTGTCCGTATTAACGAGGTTTGACTGTAATGAAATTGAAAGCATTACAGCCAAGAAGACTTTTGCAGGGACTGATCAAACAATATGAAATAGAGTTTAGTTGCAATATTTTGACTGGCCAAAGTGACATTGCTTTCTGTTCTCTTAACAATTCCCTCAGCTATATTTTTTTTCAAGGAAAATGTGCAGAGATCAGTTAGGAGAATTTATATGTGGACATTCATGGGGCTTAAAGGGTAATTTGTCATTTTCTTTGCGAAACTTTTTTCAGTCAGTGACATAACAAAGGGAAAGTTGAGTTACAGCTGTAATTTCCCCATAACAAAACAAGATACACTATTTTTTATAATAACGCCCATTTTTGAGTTGAGTCTAGACAGTTCTTATTTACTGGACAGTTTCAGCCTGGAAATGTTCTTACAGGTGTTCTTAAACTTCAATAACAGCAATCTGGTAACTTTTAAGCTACATATATATAGACCAGATAAGACAATGATTATAGTTTTTAAATTAATGAATTGTACAAGTACAAGTATTATTGACCATACACAGTAGGAATGTGTGGAAAGAAGAAAGAAAAAGTGCCCTCTGATTCTGATTTTCTGGATTTAGAAAAGTAATAGCAGTGAAAAATAAATTGTTCTTCACAGAGCCTCGGGTATTATTATGTTTTAGCATGTTCTTAATATATTGACAAATTTCAGGCAGAACGTTCTTATAAAAAAAGTGAGTGTACCAAAGTTAACATTTTAACAAAGAATAATTCTTTGAATTATTCAGCGTCAGTGGACTGTTGTGAAAACTTTAAACCTTCATCGGCACATCTTGCTAAGTACAAGAAGTTCACTTAGCAAAAATAATGAACTTATCTGATCGACCAACAGCTTACTGTAGTAATGGAATATTAAGTCAAGGTGGAAGTCTGAGAATGGGCGCTTATTTGAAAATACATTTGAAGAGATTTTCTTTATTTTATTTTTGGGATTTGCTGCCCTGACAGTGGTTGAATCAAAATGGTATAAAACTTAAATAATTAGTTATCTTTAACACTTGTACAAACAGTCTACCTACCACTCCACTGCCCATAAATGAAGACAGGTTAAAAGGAAGTCCTCTTCTGTATTCAACATCACTTTCCATTGCTTTTTCAACGGCTTTGGACAATGCATTATTCAGCAAGTTCCCCCAAGAACTGAAATTCACAGGGCAAAGAGTTTGTTACAGTAGTGTGTCCTTTTTAATCAAGTCTCCCTCATCCTGCCCTCCCTGGCATGCCCGATCTATGCCACAATATAAGCACCCTTCCCCTGGTGAGCATCTCGTAATGAAAAATTCCATAACATGGACACAGAGATGCATTCTTAGTCACTTTCCTACACTGCCCATGAGACACTACTTTTAACACAATCTGTCTTTGCAAGAGTTAATTCTGACATTAGTGTTCTCACCATGCTGTAGGCACAGGGATACATCCCTATGATGCACATGGATGCTAACAAGGGAAAATTAACAAAAAGTGTAACTTCAGAAGTTATAGGGGCACATGATTACTTTGAGCTAGCTGGGCTGGTTTGATTCGTCGATCTCTTGGCACATTAATGAAACACAATTACGGAAATCATTGTCATGACATGACAACTGACACACAAAAAGCCTGCTTAGCCAGGATCCCAGCTCACCAGGCTGGCCAGGGGACAAACCAAACCTGGAACTAGACAGCGGGACGTAACACAGTATGTTTTGTCCACTGCTTCCACCCTCTCTGTAGAAATGGCACTTCCGGGAAGGCTCTTTCCTTTTAATATACTAGGATAAACATTCAATGACCTTGGCAAAAAAGGCCAGCCTAGCAGACGTTTTTTCTGCATATACATGTAAGCTTACTTTTCCTGGAACGTAGTCAGAGATAGGTACATTGTATGGTCTTTATCTTCAATAGGCACTGGGAAATATATAGTTCCTCTTGGGAAGTAAAGGAGATCCCCAGGCTGCAGAAAGATCAGAGCATTTTTTTATTTATAAATAAAGTAAGGTTATTTTAAACAAACTTCCTTGATACAAAAAAGGCCTGTGATTCAGGTTAAAAAAGGTGTCGAGCTGGTTTGATTCTTTCATTCTATTTTATCCTAGCCCTAATACTATTCATGACTAGAAATAACATTAACAGATTTGTTACTATAATTTATATACACATGACAAAGTCCCCTGTAGTCATTCATTCAGTCCTCAAGACAAGGATTATTAAACAAAACAAGCCAAGTTTTTCTTTAAAAGTTCCCAAAAGGAAAACATTGTGCCAAGGTTCTCAATGTTCAGCCACTACAGTGCATGGTTTTTATATTTTGATACGTTTCCAGGGAAATATGTTATGATGCTTGTCATCTGAAAGCTTCAATAAGTTTTAAACAGTGGTAAGTTAAGCTGTTTCATTATTTTCTATTGCATATCAATGGCCTTTGGTCATCGAACACGGATTGAATATTCGCTTTGCGCAATTGTGTCATGACTGTGTAAGTGATGCATTACTTGTGTCACCCATTACAGTGATTACTGTTTAAATGTATCTTTGCCGGCAAATACAGCCGTCTCTCCTCACTATTTGCAGGCTAATTGTATCTAAGCACCAGTGAATAAAATCATTGAATTAAATATGAGTCTTGTCCACTGTGTTGTTCAATTCAGTTTTCATGATCCACAGTGATCCCTCTTGTTGACACTGGAACTAAAAGAGCTTTCTCTGATTCGCCTACACAATTATGTAAGCGGTTTTTATCAATCAAATCGCCAAGGTAAACCCACTTGTTTGCCCACACTTCCTAGCCAACGGTTACTGCTAGTATATTCCTTTTTTTGTTATCAATGACAAATGAGAAGGTACAATAAATTTCCTGGAAAACTGTGTGTAACAAAACCATAATTTTAAATGAGATAGCAGGGATGATTATGTGTACAACCTTTGAAAATCAAAATGATAATTTTTTTTTTTGCAAAAGGCTTTTGGCTTCCTTTGAAGGCATTTTCACTAACAACTTTCTTAGTGCTTTACTAACCCTTTCAATCCCAGATGGAAAGACAAAGTCTCGCTCTAACTTTTGAGTCTGCGGACAGCACGGTTGTCATTAAGAGCTGTGGGCAGGGGATTTCCCCTGGCTACTATGAGTGTGGCCCCTGGGTACTTTTATTGAAAAATAGAAGAAAAATAAAACCAAAAGAAATCCATAGCTGTTTTATTCCCCGCCTACTGAGTTCCATTTCTTATCTGGAACACTGTACACACTATAACAATTGGGCCTCTGTTATTAGCATGGGAGCAATGGTTTTGAGTATACCTTCATGTCGAATTCATGTATAGGTTCACCTATGTCACTTAGTTCTAAGTCAGGACTGGCCTCTTGAGGAAGCTCTTGCATAGGTTTAAAGAGTTTCCATTTAGTCTTCCCCTCCAGCTGAAGGATAAATGTCTGTAAAAAAAGTTCAAGTAGTAAATAAAGATACACCTCCAAAACATCTAGCCAGTGAGCAAGCTATCCTATTTGGCAGGGCTTGAAATTAAAAAACTCCTCAGGTTGCCTTTTGTTGACCCACTGGAGAAATGTAGTCGGCAGATGCAAATTTTTAGTTGCCAGTTTGTATGATGTAAATGACGCAACACAGTACGGCGTGATCCTTCAGATCTGATTGTTTGAAAATATCAAAGGAAGAAGTCAGTATAAATTTGGAGGTAAACTGGCTTCATTATGTAATTTGGCACCTTTTTATGACGAAAGCAAAGCAAGATAAGATCAAATGTTTGTTTTAACTTTACTCTTTTAATTTAAATCTAAATCATAGAGAAATCTGGTCGCCAAAGTGGTGACTAAACCAGGATTTTTAGTCGCCAGGAGAAAATGTTAGTTACAATGGCAACCATTTCAGTTGCAATTTCGAGCCCTGTTCGAGTGAGTGAAGCAAGGCATGTGGGAATGGGCAACTGAGCAACGAAGGTGCAAGGGGCAGAGGAAAGGAGAGCTCATTGCAAGCCCAGTTTAGTGTTCTTTAGGTGTTTAATTCACTTTTCCGAGATAGCATCCTAACACCCAAAAATTCGACATCTTATTATTTACTATCAATGGTATTGTTTTGGCATTATGAGCCTTAATGACCTTAGCAATAAAAGGTAGTAACTAACACTATTTACCAATACTGTGTCAGTAGACAGTAGTTAATTATGTCACACCTTACCCTTAATGCTCTTTGGAATAATATTCTAGGGAAAAGTACTTAAATGAATATATGTTTCATGAAACAAACCTCCATTTCATCAAACTGTGGAGCTAACCCTTGTGATCCTGGCTGGAAGATAAATGCATCAGCACCAACAAGATTGGTAAAATACGTTTCCAGTGATTCCGCCAACCTCCAGACTTCATCCTAGGGAGGCAAAATGTAATACTTAATTTGGTAGCTCAAGGCTGTGCTCTAAGGAAAATTGAAGGGAGCCCAGTGCTCTGAAACTGTAAAATCTAGGGTGTCCAGCATATGATTTGTATGAAAAATTTGAGATTTTCTAGTTGCCCAAGGGCAAAAGTTAGGCGCCAGGGACCACCGGGCTCTGCTAGAGCACAGCCCTGTAGCTATGCCACTATTCACACATTAGTTAATAAAACCATTTTTAAGCCCATGGGAAAACTTATATCTTTTTAAATACTATAATACAGTATACTTCCTTGAATATTACACACGTATTAATACCCTCCCACACCCTGGTTAAATTTAAAATGATCCTCCTTCAATAACTGCACCTTTCCCTCTCTCAAACGAGCCTTCTATGCAGATAATGTTTTTGTTATCAAGCAAGATGATATCATGTGGAAAGCATTTTCTTCCTACATTTTTATTGACTCTTTATTGCCTTACCTTTGACCACATCAACACTATAAAGATTCACATTCTTCTCCATTAGTTTCATTTATCTCTTGTACTAGCAGATATTCATTACAAAGATTTAGCTAAAATAAAACTGAACTCCTGCAATAAAGCCCAAAACTACTGCAGATGAACTTCTAGATGTTTTCCCTCCATTATTATACCAGTATTATTTGGGTGTGGTTTAACCTGATTTGTACACATTATAATAATATGTCTAGACCACGAACATGGCATCACCAAGCAGGCTCAGTTTTTATAGCATTGGTACTCCGTACTGAATACGCTACAAAAACCGGGTTTTAAGCTGCGTCCACATGCGAGGGGCAGCGAGTATCTCTACCGTTTAGACAGGGGAGCTCCCTCTACCCCCCCGCCCACCGCTTGGCTCTTTAGGTTTGTTCATGTTTATATAGAAATACGGATTTTATGCCTGAAGAAAGGACTATGCCACTTGTCAGTCATTAATTTTTGTAAGTTATTACTTCATGATGGTGGCTGTACTGTACATCGACATTGACATCTTTGGATTGACGGAAAAACAATCTGGCACACATTTCATGACAAAGCTTGCGCGAAACTCTCGCACGTGTTTCGATAAAATTACAAACCTTGTATCTGTCAGGCTGATGAAACTGTACAGCAACGCCAGCCGCTTTTAGGTGCTTCGTATTAACCCGTCCATCTTCGTTCAACAACTCAGTCTTGCCTTCCGCGTAGCGAGTCAACGACATATCTTCAATAAACTGAATTTCTTCCTTCTTCAAAATGGCCTCCAAGTCTTTCTTCGTAAACATCTGTCCGTAAAAATCTGCATTTTCTCGACTAACAAAAAGTGGTTTCTTCTCCCAGTATTCGTCGAAAAAGTTATCCAAATTTGTCGAGGACAAAAGTGACTCCAGAACCCTCTGAGGTGAACTGAAGTCTATGGCCTTCGTCGCAGCAGTCGAAGCTTCGGTGTTACCCGCTACTTTTTTCTTTTTTCCATCCGGAGGAGTTGCAGAAGCACTGGGGTTACGATTCTTTCGCTTCATGGTCTAAGAGACGGAAAACACGAGCAGAGAAAGATGACAAAGGTGCAAGCCAGCAGCTCCACACACATGCAAGCAGAGCTCAGAAGTTCCACACTCACATGGAGTTTCGTCAACGCGCGCGCAAGGCTTCCCATGTGAAGGATGCGCCTCTGTTCTTTGTTTTCATTGGTCAGTTTTTCGCGCCATTTCTACAGGCCCGCAATAACTGGTAACCTCGGCCACCAGGCCAAATTTCCGCACTAAAATATGATGGTGGATGTACTGTACAAAATTGTTTTTATTGTCACATTTTTAAATGCTTATTTATAACGAATCATTTAGTTTTATTTTCATTTTTCTTTTAGCTCCTGAAGAAGGTTTGCTTTCAAACCGAAATATTGGGCAATTTGTTTAAATATATAATTTTTTGTTTTATTCTTTTGTTTACTTCTTATCTCCTTGCCGTAAGGATCAGTTTGCCGTTTCATATTTTTTAAAAAATTTGTGCCGGGGGTTCCTTGATGTAAACTTTTATACTTGAAATAACGTGATTCTTACAATCCCATGAGAAAATACGAGTCGTCGTTGCCGGCAACGGGTATAAAGGTACAGATAAAGTACACAGCACTGATTAATTGCCCGTTACAAGAATCTTTTAACCTTAAAAGATAAAGAGATTCTTGTGTTGTCTGGTAAATACTGCTGGAACCGTGCACTTAAAATTCTTTGTTCTTACTGATATATGATATAAGGCATTGGTTTTGTAGATAGCAGAGTTTCTCTATTCATATCAACAAAAACGCATATATAGTTTTGACACTTTCATTGAAATGCTCTGATTCGATGTTGACATAAGTTTTGACAAGAGCTAGTAAAATGTCGATAGTCGTGGCCGTGTATAAAACTGGGACGGGCCGGGACAAGACTGGACATTGGGACGCGTCTGTCGGGGACTAAGTCGGGGACCGTTTGTGACTTAAGAACGCGAGGCGAGGGACTTGGGGACATCAAGTATGGGACGCGGGGACGTTTGGGATAGAGATGCAGGACGTCAAATACAGGGACGCACGGGACGCGGATGTGAATGATTATTGCAAAAGTCGGAGGTAAATGCGATGTCAGTCACTTTTCTCGTGAATGTGTTTTGGTGAAGGCAGCCCACCTTACCCTCGTTTACAGTTATGGGTCGGTCACGCGGGAGTTACTCCATGTCTGCCTCGGCGAAAACCACCTGCATTGAAGAAAGTGAAACCGTTGTCCTGGTCAGTAGTGCTGATGGAATATTGGAGCCCTAAGCAGGGTAGGGAGGGTTGTGGTGGCCAAAAGTTATATAGAATAACAGCATTCTATTCCAAATAAATAAAAAAGGAAACTAACTTAAGTGGAATCAGGAGCCCATGGGCCCCTGGTGGCATAAGTGAGCTTCAAACCCTGAAGGCCTAGCTCCGAAATCCATCGCCTTTATCACTAAACCACGGGGGATTCTACTATATTGTAACAGCATTTATTTTGTTTCATTATATTTGTAGTGGCAAACTTAACAGTAAATGCTTGCTAACAGTACTTAAAGGTTGATATCCACTGACGCGTTTTTGGCTACGCACGTTAACGCACTTAAATTTTAATTACGTAACTGAAAATAGCCGGCAATATATTAAGTGTTGAGATTAAACGTGAAGTTGAGCGAAGTTGACTTTTACGCCTACGCTCGACCTTTCATACGTTGCCTCTATTTTATTTGCGAACGTAAATTTTCCAACGATAGTCAGTGCGATTACTCCTGTATAGGGAAATGTTTTGTGTAAACATCATAAAAGGTGCCCAGTGTGGTTCTGGACGATGGAATCTTATGTTGACAATAAATAACACACCTTCACGAAGAAAGAGATATCACATTTAATACCTCCGACTTTTGCAATGTTCATTAACGTCTCCGCGTCCCTGTATTTGACGTCCCGCGTCTCCGTCCCACACATCTCATCGTCCCATACTCATGTCCCCAAGTCCCTCGTCTAGCGTCTCCAAGTCACAACTCCCGACACACGAGTCCCAATGTCCCCTTCCCTTTGTCCCAGTCCCAGTTTTATACACAGCGATAGTCGTGATCAAATAATGATCATAGGATACGTAAGTTTTCACAATATTTTCTTGTGGAATTATGGTCCCGACCAAAGTAAGAAAAAATAACTGAGCGCCTGAAGAAGAGGCAACGGTTTTTCACCCAAAAAACCGACTAGGAGAGGTCTGACAAAGGGTGAAGATTCATTGCTTCCTGATCATTCCTTCTCGCAATTTTTCGTTGTTTCATTATTCTGGTAACAGTACGAGCGCAGGGGCGGATTCAGGATTTTTTTTTAGGAGGGGGTGCACTCGTCTCTTGCTCTACTTCAACACCAATAAACCACATAGTATTTTTTTTTTCACGGAATACCAGTTGTATTAGAAAACCGCAGGTCATCTCGGGGGGGGGGGGGGGTGCACCCCCTACACCCCCCCCCTAAATCCGCCCCTGGAGCGGTATGTGCACCCTAAGTGAGACCAAAATGCGAAATGTACACCCGAAAGCCAAACCCCAAAGGACGTCTCCGGGGGGGCCAGACAACGGACAACCCCCCCCCATCCATATGGGAGACCCCCCACCCCCAGTATTTTTTTTTTCACGGAATACCAGTTGTATTAGAAAACCGCAGGTCATCTCGGGGGGGGGGGTGTGTGCACCCCCTGCACCCTCCCCCTAGATCCGCCTCTGGAGCGGTATGTGCACCCTAAGTGAGACCAAAATGCGAAATGTACACCCGTAAGCGAGACCCCAAAGGACGTCTGCGGGGAGGCTAGACAACGAGCAACCCCGCCCCATTCATATGGGAGCCCCCCCCCCCCTCCCTCGGGAGGTTCACCCTCGCTAAACGTTCCTAGAAGTGCTCCTAATCCTGAGGGCGAAAGGAACTAAGAAATCCTTAGGACCTGGCGGTTTGGATCGCACGCGATGACAGCTATGATCTTATTTTCAGACACCAACATTGTCCCACTCTTTGTTGACTTGTGCGCTCAACTTAATCAAGGTCACTTGAACTCTCGTTTTTCTCGACCTTGAACATTATTTTCCTCTCAGAGTTTATAAAGGCTTCCAGTCAAGTTTTCATCAGTTAGAGCCCTCCAAAGGTATAGCGGGAAAATACAAGGGCAAGCTGGTAATGTCTGGGAACATTGTTCGTTCTAATGCAAACTGCAACTACAATGGCATGCAACAAGGCCTCGCGTTTTCTTAATGCATGTCAAAACCCAGTCATGAATAGAGATTAACATTGGCTCTTAATTAGAACGTTTGGTACACAGGTCTACACATAAAATCATCCCATGAATATTCACGACTGTTTTTACTTCTAACCTTCGAACGAAGTGATGACATTAAATTATACAGTTTATTACGGAAAATTCCAGTAGATTAACAGGTAATTAATGCTTTTGAGAAGACAGAAATGATTTGAAGCTTTTTTGGCTGGGGATGCCATTAATGAATAACTACCGTATTTTTGGGTTTTCCACCATTTTTGAATATCAGATGTCCTTTAATTTAGCCGAGCCGCCTATGGAAAAAGATAAAAAAACAATAATTGGATCTGAAAGATGAAAGGGCAACCGATTCACGAAGGAAAATAGAGCGAAGAGGAAGAAAAACAACTCTCATCTCGCGTCAGATTTATCCCGACAGATAACTGGGGAAATGACATAAAATACGGAGAAACTTCCATTAAACCAGCCGACAATGGTGTTTTTTTTTCTACAGTACTTCATGACTGAAGTATAAAAATAAACTTCACAGCGCGCCGCGTGCTCTGGTCGTCCGCAAAACGAAACAAACAGAAAAAATTAGCACAAAACAGATAACATTTTTGTACCGCTGATATGACATTGTCAACTGGCACTTTCTGTTCGCCACTGTCCACTTGTATGATAAACATATGAAATTATAAAAGCCAACAAATGTGCCCTCCCCAAAGCAGCTGCCGATATCTGCAACTGCAAAAAGACGATAACTTATAGATATTTGAAAACATATTTCTATTTAGCAACAACATTTTAATTCGATTGCCTATGTTACATATGAATCATGGTCCAAAAAACAAGCTCACAGCAAACTACAACATCCCGGGAACAGGCTTCCACAGTTAATAATTCAACCACAACGAAAGTCGTTCTTCTCGAGGAAAATATGATGTACAAAGTTTACATATTCTCTTCATAAACGAAATGCAATACCAGCGAAATTGAAGACGAAACGAACATGGAGGTTTTGGACAGTTTTGAGCTTTAGTAACAGCATTTTTGATCCACAAAAAACTTCATACACTGAATTAAGTAATTCAATGTTGTTTTAGGGCAATCTAGTAAATGGATTTCAGTCTCTACATACAATCTCAAATTAGGTGCTAATTGCTTACTGCCGCATGAGATTGTTTTGACTGTTTTTCAGACGAAGAAACGAGTACACTGAGTAATACAAGTGATATTAGTCTACTATAAAAATAACTACCAAAGAACGTCGAGCTCTTGAGGCGCTAATGAAGTCAATTGCTCGATCGATACGAGAGAATTACAACGAGAACTAAAAAACTTAAACAGTCGTTTCGTTGGAATTATTCCCGCCGATCTTCTGGTTCTTTGGACGAGGAGGTCTTTTCCCAATCACTAGATAGTAGAATTTTTTCCACGACTGTAATGTCTTTGGTGACCAAATCCAAAAACCTGAAATCGTCCCAACGAAGAGAGACATGAAAATCTTTAACTGAAATATGCTGAAATTCGGCTCGGCGATTCTATTTTCGCGCTTACCGTAAAACCAGTACTCTTTATTCGCGTATTCATAGAAGTAACAAGCAATTACAGCCGTCGCAGGGACGGTTGAAAACACGGAAAATATCCCAAGGCGAACGATGAGTCTTTCTAGTTTATTAGTCTCGCTCTTTGTACTGGTGTCTCGTTGAACCGTTGCGCGGATGCGAAACAACGCCACAAATCCCGCGATTAGAAACAGGGTACCGATAATTAGATAAGTAAACTCGGGACCCAGAACGAACGCAGCAAGAGCAATCAGGTCTTGATTTCCAACGAAACAAAGTCCAGTCAATTCATCGCCGTCGATTTTGCGAGTTATCAAGATGAAAATTGTTTTGATGGTTGGTAAAGTCCACGCAATAACATGAAACAAGTTCGAGTAAGAGCCGATGGCATCGTAACCCCATTTCATCCCTGCCGCGAGAAACCAAGTTAGCGCCAAAATTACCCACCAAACTGTTGCGGCCATGATGAAGAAGTACTGTATCAAGAAGACAATAGCGCAGCCAGTGTTTCGCAAACCGTCTTGGATAAGAAATTTTGGCCCATTATACTCCTGATCGCAAGAGATTGCTTCGCGGCCAGCTGCTAGACGAATGATAAAAGATATGGAGTAGAGGTTGTAACATAGAGCGAGCCATATTATCGAACGTTCAGGGTATTTGAAGCGTGCAGTATCAACCAAGAACGTACAGAGAACAGCGAACGTGGATATAAAACATACTACGGACCATACAGTCATCCATCTGTCGACCGTTTCTTTGTCCGAAGTTTTAAAGATACCTTCTTGATTACACAGCACGGCACACGATGCAGTACTTTTCACATAATAGTAATTGATGTTATTTTTGAATTTCCTGCACTGTTCCGAGCCAGTATGGTGTCGTCCCGCTGGCGTAGCAGAAACACTGTCATTTGGGAGTAGGTCATTACCGTCATTTGGTCTCACGCTCGTAAAACCTAAAACCGGTTTGGGGCTTGAACTGTCCGTGAAATTTGGTCCTGGCATACACATTTGACGATCGTTGTTTTCGTACAAGAACTTCGTGCAATTTAGGTTCATCGGCCACGAAATGCCGAATTCTTTCAGAACGGGAAGGCATTTGTCGCGAACGTATTCGCACAACGGGCGACATGAAGCGATTTTCACATCCACCATGTCGGTACACATTGGAAAGTACGCCGAACACAAGAAGAACTTCAGATGAGGAGTGGAACAATTGCATTTAATCAAGGGAACAAACTGTACGATCTCCCGTTCAGCTTCTTTCTGCGTATCGTGACCCAACATATTGGGCATTCTGGTGGCGTTGTAACCCAGGTCACTGCAAAGTGGAACAGTGATCTTCTCACACTGCCATGACTTTTTTCGGGATCCTTGGCAGTTCACAAAGGCGATACAACTTGTCAAAAACACAACAAAAACCAACGAACGATCGAGCGCCTTCATGGTCTATTTCATTGCCACGACAGCTGAAGTTGATTGTTGAATGCGCTGCGACTTTAAAGTCTTGAGATTTTTGCGCCCTGATCTCAAAATGTCCTTCGTATTTCCCAGATCTTTGTAGACGGATTCGTTCTAAGAGACTTGAGTTTAGATAAGTTCGTTCATCCAAACGGAATTCACAAATGCAAAATGTAAGCAAAAGTTATCTGCATGTGAATATGGTAGCTGTATTTTCTTTGTGCTGTTCACGACCTTTATGTGCTTTAGCCAATCACAAGGCGTTCAGCTGATTAAAGACCACGCCTATCAAAACCATCTGTCAATTAGGTTTAATTTTGCTTCGAGTCGTGATTGGCTGATTACACGCGCAAAGCAAACTGAGGAAAATGAATCTTGCTTGCTTTCAATTTGCAGACCCTGGCCCTATTTACACAGATGAAATCCTTTCTTTTAGTCTTTGTTAGAAGCACAGACTGGTTGCCGCATCAGATTATTGCTTTGGCAATCAGCTGACCCGCGCGGTCTGAGTGAAGATGAAGACGATGAACTATCTGAACTTTTGCAGCTGACCTATCCATGAAAACTTTTATCCCAATTATCAAAATTATGATTCAAAATCCGAAGGGCGACTTGTCAAAGCAAAAAATACAAAAGTAACCTAACTACTGTTTTTCCTCCTTGTATTTTTAAATACAAATTTCAATTTTTTCCCCTTAAGTGCCCGCATAAACTTTCGGAAACTTTTTGTAATTATACGTACTCGGAAATGAGCCCGACTGTGAATAAAAATTAAAAAAAAATGGACAGCCATATAAATTGCTTTAACGATTTTTTTTCTTTTTAATAAATCGTCCGCCTTGCAAAGATTATTTTGCTCTTAGATCAAGTGCTTTGTGTACGTTTAGCCACTGAGAGTATAAACGTCTGGAACTGCCAGGTATTCTACAAAACTATCATCTATTCAGCTAAGACTGAGGGTATTCAAACCTTCCTTGACTATAGAAAATCTTCCATAGGTTATTTTTCGAGAATAAATATATTGCTAATGATCACTGTCTCTAAACTGCAACCGCAATTATTTGACTATTATCTCCCACAAATGCGTTAATACGTACCTTGGTTGTTGTTTCGACTGGTTGATTTTCAAACAATATCGCCACACTGGCCGAGATTTCTTCAGATTCTTTCGTGAGCCGGGGGATAATCCCTATATTGGCCCCTTCCGGGAGCCCACAACTACTTATGGGTTCCTGCCTCTACGGGGAGGCTCCGCCCGAAAGACCACCTTTTTCAGGCTTGTATACGAAAGGCTCGGGAAGGGACTCCGCATATGAAAGGGGTGGGGATGCTTGTCGGAAATTTTGAATTAAAGCCCTAAAGGAGACCAATCTGGGCGTGGCCCAACCTTTTTTTCACCCCTAAAGGCGATGATTTTAAATCTTGATTACATGAATCGAGTAAATAAAACGAATTGAAAATATATAATTTTTTAATATTTCTTCGAGTGCAACCCTAAAAGAGACCTTAACGGCTAAATATAATGGTGTTTTGCCCAGAACACCCTAAGCGAGACCAAAATGCGTAATTTACACCCATAAGCGAGAGGACGAGCATCCCCACTCCTTTCATATACGGAGTCCCCCCGGGACGAAAGGGTGGGGAAATGGGAAATCGTTCATTTGGGTTTGTGAAAAAGGCACAAAAGGAGTCTAACAAGCGGTATTTTATGGCTGTGAAAAAGTCGAGAAAACGGTATGGTTTTGTAGTTTATTAATATCTAAAATAAAACGGCAGTGATTTTACAACAGTTTTGTCAGTACACGAAGGGCATACCGTTTTTGTCAAAACCAAGAGTAAGGGGTGGAGAGCTTCACCGTATAAAACTATGTTCAGCACCCCCCGGGATTAATAGACGACGAGAGCGTTTGAAAATTCCGACTTTTGCCACCAACAAATTCATTTAGAGCAGTAGCGTGGATAGATTTATTGCAGGTCATAGAATTCTTGCTGTGATATGGAAAAATGATCCCTTTAAGGTCTTTTTATATATTTGCCGACATTTAATTAATCAGACTTTTTTATCTCATACGTCAAATAGTCGGTTACCGCCGGTTATTAGTTTGCCGAAATCTCAGAAATCTGTGGGAATTTTAACCATACACTCTCTGTCTCACAAACACACACGCAACAGTGGATGCTCTCGAAGTTATTTACTCACTTCATAATATCCGGCGATAGGCAATTCACAAGGATGAACTTTTCTACTAGTTTTCTTTTTCTTTTTTTCTGAGCAGTTTTGAAGCTTGGTGTCGCAAACACAAAGAAAACGAAAAGAAAAAAATGCGAGAGTACCGCCGATTGGTATAACTTGCTCGCGAAGTGGCTACTTCCGAACCCATCTGGGCCAAGTTATTCGGCAGGCAGTCTTTTTAGCACAGCATTATTTTTCGAATGAATACACGCTAAATGAAAGAAAATAAGGTTGTGCTGGGAAATCACTGATGAGAAGAATTTCTAACCAGCTGAGAAACCTTTTCAGTTGTCAATGAAAACCTCTTGCCTCGCGTGACCCGCTAAGGAAGGTAAATCAAGCTCATCCACGCGTGTGTGCGGCCGAGGACGCGTGGTACCATTTTGACTTTGTAATTGTTTGTGTGTCCGAAATAAAAAATGCTGAAATCTGCGAAATTTAAGAATATTACGAATAAACCCAAGGCTGAGATTTTGAAAAAAAAAACACAAACAAACAAACATTTTGACTCCAGGAGTCCTTGTTAAGGGGCCATGTTCACGAAAATATTTCTGTGCTGTACCTATGTCTTTTTTTCTTTCGATCTGTTCTAAAAAAAAAAGAAAAAACAAAGTAAAAACAAGAAGAAACCTGATCGCTGTTTTTTAGCGCTTTGATACCCATACACTAAACGGCTCTTGTAGAGTTAGTAAGAAGCATTACTTCATAATAATTTGTTTATTTGTTTAAGTCCATCCTTGCCATCCCGGCAGCAAAAGGCGTCAGGAAATAGTTTCAATGCCTAAATAAAGCCTTATAACAAAACTGGACCAAGAAAGCAGTTGATGCGAAGAAGACACTCGTCAGCTTATAAAAAAAGAATTCGAAGCAAATAGCTTGACATCGCCAAGTTCGTTTAAAGCTATGTGCAGCGCTAGCTAGCGTAGACGAACTTGTACCTTCTTCTGACTGAGCATTTTGCTAAAGTATCGTCCAAGTGATTGTAGTCCTCATTAGCCAAAGCCTTGTTAGCCTTTTCATTAGCCTGATGATGTCAGCATGGACGGACGTTTCGACAAACGTATACGCGGTAGTCATTTTTCGAGTCAAAGTGATGTAGCAATTACAACTCTTAAACGGGTATGAAATTTCCCGGTGAGCGAGTCGACGAATTTTGCAGAGATAGATCAGGAAAAATGTGTCATCGTGTAATCCAAGGTAATTGCTTTTTCCAGGGCAATTATTGCACATTGGGCTTTTCTGAACTTGGAAAAAAGCTTCCCATATAGTTGCATCACTGGTAAATTATAGTGAATTTTAAATGTAACAAAGATACTTGTAGGCCCTAGACGAATTTAAAGCCTACCGGTTGAGTCACCAATACAACATTAATACGCAACAAGAATATCGCTCGAACACTTATTTTAATAAGTATTCCGAGTGATAAGTTTTAATAAGTCTACTGATAAAAGTATTCTCAAAACGTTATGCATTTTACGTTCTGTGAGAACGTTTTAAGAATCATGACTTTTATCAATAGACTTATCTATAGATATAAATTCCATATGTAATAAGTTACGATTTTTATTATTATGGCTTAATTTCTCTTCTTGCTGTGAAAAATATGTAACATAACATTTGTAGTTTTTATCTTATTACAAATAAAGACATTTATTATTATTATTTTATTAATACTTTGAATCTGAGATGAACTTAGGCTAAGGGTAAATTGTTGTTCTCCGCTAAGACGAAAACTACGAAACAATCTATCACTACAAGAGTTCCTACAATCATCCACAAAAAGGTTGGGAAAGCTACCACTTTTCACTTCCCTTCTACTTGTGCCCCCCCCCCCCCCCCCCCGGGAAATAAATAAAGGCAAAGGGAAAATTTTTTTTCCCCCCAAAAAAAAAAACAAAAAAACAAACTCCCCACAAAAAGTCCCCCACAACCACCCAAAAAAGGGGGGGAAAACCACCCCCTTTCCCCCCCCCCTTCCTTTTCCCCCCCCCCCCCCCCCCCCCACTGGATCAATGTTGGACAAAATTAAATTGTTTTTGCGCGTAATTGATGTTATATGTCCCAACATTGACTGAGGGGGTGGGGGGAGAACAAATAAACTTTTTTGATCCAAAATAAAACGCAAACAGCAAATGTATGTTGAATAGCAAACGAAACGTCATGCTTATAAAAATGCGAAAACTCACAATGTTTATCACCGCTGTTTGTGTTTTTTGATCAAACTACCATGGCCCAAGAACAAAAGTCTATGTGATACAATTTTTTTGAACATCATGTTCAAAAAGATTGTAGATAGATATATAAGGCGTATGAAATGGACCAATAATGCTGTTAAGTTATTCAACCTTTGTCCTTGATTATAGATTGCATGAGGTGCCTGGATAGTGGTAGTCTTTTGCTAAACAGGATAACTCGATACAGAACTAGAAATCCAATGCTGTCTCACATAATACATTAATTTATTCTGTTTGTAAAAGCATTACATTTCTTTGACATGTAAGGAAGTACCCACCGGGATTTTTGGTTCAAAAATGAACGTTATCAATTATTAACTGAGCAATCCGGGGGCGTGTGACAGTCGTAGTAGGGTGTGTAGTCCGACTTTCCAAATCCTGACTCTGGATCTTATTTCAGTCTTCTCTTGTTCAGATCAGTACCTATAAGGCAAATGTTAAAGAGTACTCCCCCCGGGTAAGGTCGTAACTGAACAACGGATCATGGAAGCAAGGCTAATCCTGCTGATTCTGATCTACGACAAGATCCGGCTTTCCTTCGCTGCGGTTTATTTAAGTGGTCCTTACAAGAATTTTAAATTTAAAACACCACTTTATTTTTGTCTTCTTTCTTTATTTTTTCTATCACTCTTCCTGCCGTAAGGATCAGTTTACTGTTTTCAGGTTAAAATTTGGTACTCAAGATTTTACTGATCCAGATCATAGTCACCTCCATTAACTATGTCCAGATCTACTAAAGATCCGGCGGACCCTCACTGGTTTGTCGTTGTGGTTTTGCCTTCACAAGTGTTTCTTACAAGAATTGTTCGCTAATTTTTTGCCTATGTAAGATTGTGACTGTGGCATGCAAACGACCGCCCCGCAATTGTTCGTTTGTTCCCTAACCTGCATTCTTCATTGGACAGCATAAAATAGAAAAGAAAAGAGGCCCTTCTTTCGCGCTCTCGCATCCTTGCTCTGGAGGGTAGGGGTGAGCAGTGGGGACCCAGTGGGGGCAAATTGTGTCCAAGTTTGCAGTTTGGTTTGTTTGGACTCTGCTCTTGAATCACGAGTAACCCATATGGAGTACAATATATGGAGTAGGTTTCTTCAAAGAGACCCTACCCTACCCTAGAGCCATAAATCTTAACGGTCCATCATTGTTTTATTCCTGGCACACTATATTAATTGCTTCATTTTTATTTTAGAAAGAAACATTAGCATAGTCCAGTAGTGTTCTTTTTGTAAGTCCAATAAGAATAAATACCCCGAAAGTTTCTTCTTTTTTTTTTGCCAGGGTGGTGTTGGGCAGTTATTGTACTAATTCGCGCTCAGACAAAATGGTGGACGCCGGTAGTGATCAGCGTTGATACATCTTAGCCGCCATTTCGACTCAAATCTGAAAGATATGATGTGACAATGACTGTATTTTCTAAAATACTACCTTACTTTACCACTACCCTTTCTTGTCACGAGTTAGCGCATACATGGACTCCATCTTGCTCGAGTGCTTCTGCCGAGGTCTTTCGATCATGCTTCATCGAATCCCTGAAGATTTACGGTCTTCTGTATTTGGTAAGTTAGCGGTACAAATACTACGCAAGTATGACAGATGTGTAAGAGCAAGTTTATGTAATTCAGGCAATTAAAACGGATCGGAATAACTGCAGGCTGTCATTTCGACTGCGTTTATACTGAAAAAGAAAGTTTACATATTGCAGAATACCCGGCACTCTAAATGCCTAACTTAAAAAACTGCTCCAGCAGTCCCACAGGAGTCCGATTTGCGTAATAACTTCTGACATTGTTTGCGGGACTGCGAGACTACGGGAGCACTAGTATACCTCCTTCTATAAGCACACTAGTTATGTACTTGACATCGACTGTGGGAGTGTGGGACTGCGGGAGCACTAATAATTTGTATACCAACTTAATATTCACTTTTCAGGGACTGCGGGGGTGCGGGACTGCAGTAGCACTCAATAAAATAATAATAATAAAAATAATGATGATGATGATGGTGATTATATTTTTTATTACCTGCGGAACTGCAGGAGCCCTCAATAAAATAACAATAATAACTAAGATTCAAGTATTCAGCATAATAAAACTCGACTGTGGGACTTCGGGAGCAGTTTTTCAAGTAAGACATTTATTTAATGGTCCGGGTATTCTGCAATCACAATAGTAAGCAGTCAGGCTATTGATGACGTGTCATATCATATGCTCCTATAATATTCACTGAATTTCAGGTTTGAGAACTTGTGAACAGACTCGTGGTACATAGTAGTCGTTATGTAATAGCCTGCATAACAGTGTTCACCTTGCTTGGCTAACCAAGTGCCTTTTATGCAGGCTATTCTGTGATGACAAGATTTGAAGATTTGGCAGACAATAAAGCATAGAAAAAAATGCTGTATCTGCTAAAAAGCAATTACCAATTTGACAGTTCCTGGTTCTAGATGGTGTACAAAGCCATATCCTATACAAGACTCAAACAGTTAAAATCTCTGCCCAGCAATTTCAGATCAAAAGGGATCAAAACTGTATGCTTTCAGGTACTCTACATGTTTAGCTTATGTACATGTAGACTCTATAAAGGGAGATCACCCTGTTAACCCAAGCCAACACTGAGGGCAGCATAGAGGTAACCTAGGATGGAGGGGGGTGGCTAGAAGGTCTTATTAAAATTTTATACCTTAAAAAACCTTTCTGTGAAACTAATGATATTGTACTAAGCACTTTCTCTAAGGCCTGTAGTTTATACAAGTGTAACAAGCATGCCACAAGATTGTAGGTAAGGCATGCAATGTTTGGTAAAATAGCATTTGCTCTGTGGCAGCTTTCATAACAAAATTGGTGCTATTTGTTTCTAATGTATTAATAGAGGCTCCTAGAATCCTCCATCCGTGGTGAAGACTTCAGTTTTTTGCTGAATTAATATTCTTATTGGTTTCAGGTTGGTGGTATTTTACGAAGAGCAGGAATGAAATACTTCAGAGTTAATTATTTACTGGACGTTATTAGGTCATCGTTGTTTTTGGCAGTCAATGGAGGGGGATTGGTTGTTAATGTTTGCTTGATAAGGTTGGTCATTGTTGTGCACTGGGTCTTTCTGACCATCTTGTTGTGTCTATCATGATTCTAAGCACCAGGTATCACGATTTTCACAGAGAAAAAAGTTTTTGCAGGTGTTTTGACAACCTTTGAAGAAAACATTAGAGCTAGCCATGTATTAAAGAGACAGAGCATGTGTTCCTTTGTGACGATCCGGATCAGGGTGAGTGATCTGAGATCACTTGGATCATAGCACATAGTAACCGATGAATCCCCTAGCCTCTGGAAAAGGATTGATTGGTTTTTTCAATGTACATTGTACCATGATCCCAGTGATCTCAGATTATTGATCATGATTTGGATCATCCCAAAGGAATTCACCCAGACAATCTAGGAAACACATACTGGTAAACTAAACTAATACAGTATGCCAGCTCTCTCAGATTATGTCTCCTGAATACAGAGCACATTTCTTTTTCTTCTATGTTGGTCACCAATACTGTATCTTGAGTTTTTTCTGTACCATAGGCTAATGTAAGCTTAACCCTTTAGGTCCCAAGAGTGGCCAACATCAATCTTCTTCTTTTTTTTTTTGTATTTTAATGAATTTTTATTTTGTTATGTATTACATTTTTGTACACACTGACTTATGAACACGTCGCAAAAATACAAAAAACGGAAAGGAAAACTAAACATTTATACATCGCAGACTAACACACAATACTTACAAAAAAAGAAACAAACAAAACAAACCCCAGTACCTTCTTTTCTATTTACATGAAAAAAAAGTAAAATAAAATAAATAAAAAATAAAGATTAATAAATGTAGTAAGCAGAGAAGAGATCTATTAAGAAGACAGTATTAATTTTGGAATGAAGAACTCTAATGGAGGGAGGATATTTGTTCTGTCTACAAGAGTATAGATATTGTTTTGCCAGTAATAAAATATGATTCACAAATATCTCTTCCTCGCGTCCAATAAATACCAAACAGTATATCTTTATCTGAAAGATTTTCAATCTTGACCTTATGATCAACAAGCCATTTTATAACCTCAGACCAGAAACATCAATTTTCTCCTAACAACATCTGCAGATCAACAAGAGTTAAAGTTATGAGAATTACTTAATAGATTACCAAATTAAGGGAGAATACTTTGATCGTGAACCAAATTCTCTCAACTATTCTTACAAGAAATGTATGAAGATCAGTCTGGAGAATTTGTATGTGGATCTTTGGGCTCGAGTTCCATGCATTCTTTTCCCACTCACAGAATTGTTTGCTTTATTTCTGCCATACAAGCATCTGTTTGATTCGATCAAAATTGGGATGAATTGCCGTTGGGTCCAGGGTTGATATTGGTGTTGGGACAGTGGAAGTCTCCAAATTTCCAAGACAGAGTTTGCAGTGTCTGAAAATTTTGTATCGGCATTTGAAGTTAACATGCATTCTTATACCAGTTTATGTAACATTAGTTAATTCTGTTTTTGTTGTTTAGGAAACTTTTTGGCTCTTTCAACTACCTGTCTATGATATTTGTCCCTGGTCTCATAGCATCTCTTATGGCCATTCTAATTGAGAAAAAAGGGAGACGAAGCACTCTTGCACTTTATATGACAAATTTGGTAAGTGCTTTTTTGCAGTAAAAACAATGAAGTTCCTCTTTCTTTTTTAAGTGAAAGGGGCAGAAAGGAATGAACCTTGAAATATTTATTGAAACAAGCCCACAAAGGAAAGTGAATACATGTTTCAAAACCCTTTCCTTGAAAAAGATGATTTGTTATAAGTTTTTGTTGGTGATTCAGATACTAACAGAATCTTTCTCTGTTAAAGCTTGCCATTCAGAGACCATACACTGTAGTTATACCGTATAAGAAACATCACCTTTTTTAGCATACTTATTTGGTATATGTTAATCTTACTTTAAGATTCTTAAATTCAATGACCAACTTATTCTGATCGAGCCATGTGTTGGTTTACATGTGCCGTATTTTTATTGAACATGCAAACATTTTACCCAGTTTCTCCTGGGAATTTTGCCGAGAAACGTGTTTTGAAGCTAGTTGAGCTGTTTTCTAGTCACTGTCTGGTTTTAAAGAGCTGAAACTTGCCACAAATCCATCTTTGTGGCCTTCTGATCCAGATGAAAAATATTCACCTGAAGTTGGGGCATGTGCAGAAAACAAGCCGCTTTTTGGGTTTAAAAGACACACAGCAGTCTTTACTTTTTGTTTTCTCTTTCTCTCCTCTCCTCTTCTTTTGTTTTTCTTTCTTCATTTTTCCTTTTGCTAGACATTTAGTAGTCTACAAGCAGGTGGGAAAAGTTTTTGGGAAAGCTATTAGGATCTTGGTGACTGGGTAGTGAAACAAGATTTTCATGGGAATTTTCAGGTCAATGTTACATAGTTTTTTGCCTTTTTCTCTGGCCTCCTTGACTGAATCGTGCTCATTCTAGTGTAGTTTGAAAGACCTCTTCACCCTGCACAAGTTGACTGTTAAAGCTGTTGACGTCACTGGAGGTAGAAGGGGCATGGATCCACACAGGCAGTTATGGGTGGTTCATGGGCAAATTAGTAAAGTGAAGTAAAAGATAAATTGGTGGGTTATTAATTTCAAATTAGTGTTAATGCTAATAATAAATTATGTTTTTGTTGTAGGCCACTGAAACAACATATAATATGCTGAAGGAAAGAAGCCTTATTAAACCTATTCCAAATGGAGAGGTAAAACAAATATGTACAGCTTGTAAATTGCAATGTTTTTTGTCTGGGTAGTGGGGGCAGTTAAAGAAAGCTAATTATTGGAATGCTGGTGCTGCTGACACCTTCAAGCCCTGACCCTTTTTAAGACAAAGTCTTTTCTCATTATATTTCTTTGTTTCCTGTGTTGTTAGATTATACTATTTTGTGCATCAACTGCCACCATGATGTATCTTTACAGGTAAGTGCATTAGGCTAGTTAGTGTTTTCATCTGTTTCTCTGTATTTGGAACCCATGATGAAGCACAAAGCCTGAGTTTTTTAGATGTCTTCTCAAGTGAAACAATACGAAGTTATGCAATGGCATGATTTCTCAGGTATTGCACTGTTTCCATGTGTTGTGTTAATCAATAGAACATCTCATTAAAATTCAAGTGCATACTTGCCAACTCTCCTCAGGTTTTCGCGGGAGTCTCCAAGTTTTTCATCAGATCTTCCGGGAAACACCTACCATGGCCTTTTTCAAAATGCTTTCTTTAATTTCATTATTTTCGAGATGTCCAAAAGGAAAATAAAACAAGAAGTGGATCTAGTGCTATTATTTAAGCTGTTCTCGATGAGAAAATGTAAAATGATATATATTTAACGAGTATCATAATTAGTCAGAGATCAACAAATCAAATTGCACAATACGTGGTAGAAAGTTGGCACGGTTTTCACACGCTGTTATTGATGTCAAGAACATTCAGAAGGCCTTTTGGTGATTTTTGGAGAGCTTTCAGACATTGTCGAAAATGACATTCTTACAATGCAAAGATTTCTAGAGGTCTCCAGATTTTTGTACTCCGGGGGTTGGCAGGTATGCAAGTGTTTGATTTCAGACGAAAAATTGATATATTTCATCTCAGATGAAAACCTGGTGGTGTTTTATCCAGTGTTTTATAAGTTATCAAGATTCATCCACCTGACCCAAATGGTCGTCATTTATTGGTTTTTGATGGCATGAATAATTAATGAGTTTGAGAAGGATGAGAATCTCTTTAAAAACACGGAATGTTATAATAAATTTGATTCACACAACACAAGATGAGGAGGCCATGAAGTAAGTTAAGGAAAGTGATTGTTTGAAAATTATTGCTTGGAAAATATTCCAACTCCAAGACCCCGCATTCCACCCCCCCCCCACCCCCCCCCCCCCCCCACCCAAAAAACCACCCCACCAAAAAAACACCATACCCACTTTTTTTTTTTTTTTTTTTTTAAAATAAAAGTCGCACCTGTGTACTAGTAATTATCAACTGTCATAACATAGTTTTTTATATAACAAATTGTATCACCAAAACGAAGACTACGGGAGCCTATAATAAGTTAAGAAAGATGTTGTGTTGAAAAGTATTGCTTGGAAAAAATCTCCACTCCCAGACCCCCCCCCCCCCCCCCCCCCCCCCCCCCCCCCCCCCCAAAAAAAAATGCGGAGAAAATTATCAAACTGTTTTAACTTTATTTTTTGTCTTCCATTAGAAAGAAGGATGGTCTCACTGATGGATTAGTGAATGCCTTAATTAGGTAATTTTTTTATCATAATTAAAGCTATTGAAATCAATGGATTTTATCTTAATAGTCAACTAAATTAGGTGAACAGGTACCTAACACCCACTAGGTAGCTATTTTTGCCTAAACCCCACTAGTTTCTTTTTACCTGATGTTGCCATGGTAATTTAGCATTGTGAGACTACGCAGGGAACACCACAGTACCTTGATAACTAATTGTTACTGGGCCCCTTTTGCCACACACTGGACCCTGCTGCTCGAACAGTGGATAACACTATCCACTAAATAAATCCCCATCCAGTGAATAATGTAATTATTGGTTTCCTTATAATCCTGATTAGCTGGATAGTGATTTATACAGTGGATAGTGTTATCCAATGTTTGAACAACGCGGGGCCTGAACCAGTGGGGAAAGAGACAAGGTCTGGGACTGAGAAATGATGTTCTCATAATTTGCAAAGTGGTCACCTTCCATTGTGGTCAGCAGATAATTGCAGTATTTTCCCAAAGTAAATATTTTTAAATAATTCAATAGTTGAAAAAATAATATCATGGCTGTTTGTTTTTCTCGCATATCGTATTTGTCCTTTGGTACTGAAATTGCAAAATGCAAGTGACAGTCACTGCAACCATATATTCTTAATCGAAAACAAAGCAAAAAAAAAAAGGACAAGACAAGACCCTTGATGATCACCTTGCAAGTTGTGAGAATATCGATTGCATTTAAGAGAATGTATGAGAAGTAGCCCCCCCCCCCCCCCCCCCTAACCCCCCTTGGGGGGAGGTCGCCCCCCTGGTTTTTTACAAAACTTTTTTTAAAAACCCCTGGGGGTTTTTTTTTTTTCCCCCTTTTTTTTTTTTTTAAAAAAAAAGGAAAGGGAAGGAGAAAGAAAGAAAAAAAACACCACATATTGAGAGATGTCCGTTGGGAACTAAAATTAAAAAAGAAAAGGGACATAACTAGCACAAAATATTTTTAAAAGAAAAAAAAAAAAAAAAAAAAAGGAGAAAACAAGACCCTTGGTGAGTACCTTGGAAGTTGTGAGAATATCGATTGGATTTAAGAGAATTTTTGAGAAATACCCCCCCCCCCCCCCCTGGTCTGAACCCTTGTAGGGTAGACTGCACCCCTGTGATTTACATACAATCTTTTTGAAAACCACTGTGGGTTCTTAATTACTTCCCCTTTATATTGTTTATAAGAAAGAAGGATGAAGGAGATGAAGAATGATAATAATGACCCCTAATTAGGGAGCTTTGTCGTGTACTTTATAAAAATTCAAGCAGTGGTTGGGCATTGCCACCAAATTGAGTGAAACATAAAAATAAATGCGTAAAACATAAAAAGAAGGTAAAGTGTAACACTTTCTAAAAAAATCATTGTTGATGTTTTTAATGTTAATGTAAATTGCTTGTAAGACATATCTTTTTGACCCAAAGCTGAGGTCAATTTTCATTGACAAGTAATTTCGCAAATTCACAGCGAAATTTAATTGGCGTAACAAACAAAAATGAACCAGACAGCCATGACAGAGCCCCTTAAATGTGACTGCACAATAATGTGATCATCTGAACCAAGACATGGTCTTAATGACACCATCAGTATAAGACAGACACCTCGCTAAAATGGACACCCCTATAAGACAGACACCTTGCTTAAACAGACACCTCTATAAGATGGACACCTACAGTTAGTCCCTGCTTTTCTTTACTCTTACTCTGTGAGACAGACATCTCACCAAGATGGACCCATCATGCCTGTCCAGTCTGACTAATAATCCTAGTTAGGCTTGTTACCAGATTGTACAACACCCATTTTTTTTCAGGTATTTCCTTGGTTCAAATAATTCTGGACATCGTCAAGAAATTAGTGGTACAGAGCAGAGTCAACTAATGGAGAGAAAAAAGTATAATAATGATTGGCATATTAGCTGGTAAGTGACAATTTTGACTTTTATTTGGCCAACATGAGTTTGCTATTGGAAGGTCTATTTATAATAATAGGCAGATTTTGGAATGTGGCTCCAGACTAGCAATAATGATTAATACCCTCTCCATAATGGCCACTGTTCCACAGCAGCCACCCTCTCTACAATGGAAATGACCACTAAAAGGTGTCCCCAACTGCCAATAACCTCTTGAGAACCGGCAGTTTCTCAGCGACTGATGAAAAAGCCAGGAATGGTCATTGTAACATACTTATTACGTATATTGCGAACCTTGTATCAGGGTGCAAAGAAAATCATTTTTACAACTTCCCATTCGGGCAAGCTGAAGCTAGCATTTACTAGCGCAGACGGCATTTCAACTAGCCCCAAAAGCTTTTTGACAAGCAGAATTGATTTCACAGTTCTTCTGTTATTCGAATTCCTCAAAAAACATCACTTGCCTGTCAGGCAAGTTAAAAACATAATTCACTAGCCCGATAGCAAAATCCACTAGCCCCGGACTATCGGACACTACTTTCTTTGCACGCTATTGTATGTTTGGCCACATTAACTTTTTGATTCCCATCATTATTCAAGTTTTTTTCGTGTATTTTATCTCTAAATATATTTACAAATGCTGGGTTGTCATTATGGGATAACAGCTGTAAGCATGAACTTAGCTTAATAATCATGTTGTCCTTCCTTACAAAAATTTGTCACATATTACACCCCTACCGTCCCCGTAATGGCCACCTTTCCACAATGGCTACTTTCTTCTGTCCCTAAGGTGGCGATTGTGGCAAGGTTTGACTGTAATCTTAATTCTTCCCATGATAATTAAAAGACGTATCTTAAGTTATATAAATCATATAATTAAAGAAAAAGATTAATGTTTTCATTTATTTATATTAATTTATTTAATAGCTTTTAACAAAATTAATGATTTTGATTTTTTAGGCTACAACCAACTTTAAAAGCCCTTGGTACTGGTTATCTTATTCAGCTGATGCTTATGCTTGCAGGACAAATCAAATTTATTGTGACAAACCCAAGTAAGTTTAATGACACTTAAAGATTTATTTTTTTGTGTTTATGATATCTGTGACTTGCCTGCAACTTGTCATGCACTTCTCTCATACTCTGAGGATGAGCTGGGGTTGAGGGATGAGGGAAAGTAAAAAATGGTGTATGTTTTACAAGCCAAGTTTGATTCCAGTTAATTTTGACTACCTGGGTTGATTCTCATTTTCGTTTATCTCTTAGCCCTTGCAGACAAGGAAATTGAGAGTCAACTAACATTGAAAAAGTTTAACCTACAAAATTTTGACCTATAATATTTTATGGGAGCAATGTTAGCACAGCATAGCAAAGGTGCTTCAGCTGAGTTTGGTTTTCCTGTGGTCACCAGCTTTAGTTTAGTTTTTCCTTTCTCAATTATTATTATTTTTATTGTTTTGTTTTTTTTTTTCATTCTTAAGGGAGGCTATTAAGAACATTTTACCACAAGGACTGCATTAGATGTGGCCTATTTCTTGGATCTTTTGTAGCAATTTTTAAGGTTTGTAGTCTTTGTTGACTTGTTTTCCCTGCATTTTACCCCAAGGAAGACAACAATTTTTGAATCTTGTTTTTGGAAAATTTTGTTTTGTGCTTGAAGACCCCCAACAACATCATAGTTTTATTGTGTTATTATTTTGTTGATAAATGACAGGATTGCTCATCACCTTCCCTCCCATCCCCTCACCTCCCTCTTCGCCCCCACCTGTCCCCCCATCCCCTAAGATTTGATTCTAATTTTTCTGTTGATGGTCATGCAATGGAATGCTGCCTAATGATCATTCATTTTATGTAACCTCCCTCATTTAGCTTGGCCAGTGAAAAAATCCAGTTATTTTTATGTGGATCCTTTTTGATACATGACTTGATTTTTGTAGCCTTACCGAGGTGACACTGATGGGATTTTACTGTACTTCTTACAACTCTGATATGACTATATTATTTTACTTCAGAATGTTGAGGGGGTACTTGGAAATCTTAGAAAGAAAAGTGATGAAATTAATGCCCTCTTTGCAGGTAAAACGATAGACAGGCTATCAAGAAATAAGGTGTAATAATAATGTTTTTATACTTTGGTTATGGCCATCACAGGGCCATGCTTGAGACTACGATGGCATCAATATGCACTGTGGGAGATCAATTAATAATAATTTCTTCTGCCATATTACATGTATAAATTTTTTTTCAGTTTTATTTCCTTTCTCTTTTTTAGCGCAACTATTATTATTACAGTTATCTAATACATTATAATATTCAGTACTGTAGCTCTGCCATTGATTTTTGCATGTGTAATTTTGTTTATATTTTTTTGTAATAATTCACTAATGGAAACCATTCCTTATAAGCCAAGTGGTTTCTTTGACTTCCCGGCCATTAGCTTTCGAAATAAATAAAATTATTGAGAATGTCTTGTGTTTGTATATCCTAACCCTAACCCAAAACAATAAATTGAACTGAACTGAACTGAATAACTATGTTCTCCTTTATATTTTGGTGGGAATACTGTGGCAAGCTTTTTTAAAATGCTGAGAACTGTACAGACACTGCTAGTCCCTTCCCTAAATTTTTCTTCATCAGTTCTGTGATGATACATGTAAAACTTTATGAACATTCCTCCATCCCTCCCCCCCACACTAAGCTGAACTTCCCAGCCCTAACGTATAATTCTGCATTTTTTTTCAGGTGGCTTAGCCGGGCTTTCTATGATGTTTTACAAAAGTTCCACGATAGCATTATATCTAGCTTCAAAAATGTCTGAGGTAAGGTGAAAAATTATTGATGTCTTATAACTGGGCTCAGTTTTTTACAGTTGAGCCTTTTTTAATAAGGTATGACCACCTTTTTGGTAAGCAAGGGTGGTGCAGTGTTGAGAGCACAGGCCTCCCACTTATTTGGTCAGGGGGATAAATCCCAGCGTGGACGCCATATGTGGGTTGAGTTTGTCACTGTTCTCTCCTTTGTTTCTAGAAGTTTTTCTCTGGGTACTCCGGTTTTCCTCTCTCCTCAGAAACCAATATTTCCAAATTCCAATTTGACCAGGAACCACTGTGTGGATGTGCTACCACTTAATCATTAATATTATTATTAGTAGTAGTACTAGTGGTATTGTTTTTCCCAATCAAAGCACTTCAGTTGGAGCCTCCCTGTGAGGGAATTCCTCCCTTAAGTGTCTGTGAGCCCTCATATGGCTAAATAATGGTAAATGGTAAATCTGCATCGTTAATAGTTTTGTGGTAGTGCATTCAGCTACTCTTGCTAGTTTACGGGGGGCTCTACTCTAATAATTTCAAACTGTCAAAGTAGAACATTGCAAAATTAAGAAACCCAAGGCAGTTAGCAGGAGGCAAGGTTGACCAAGGATTTGATCTCGCAGCGAAAAAGAAAGTGCAGGCCTTGGTCTTGGGACCACAGGATTGCAAGTCCTGATGCTGCTATGGCCACTCATTTATGCTGCATTCAAAACACCGAGTCCAAAATTTCAAGAAGAAAACACATGTTTGTTGTTGAAGATAAGAATTTTTTTTGCACCCCGTGAACGGTTCTCGAATACTCAGTGATCATGTTTTCTTGTTTTTCATTGTAGATTGTGTACAAGCAGGGAGTATCAGCTGGGGTTCTTCCTTCTATACCTTATGCTGAAATTCTTACTTACACCTTTTCAACAGCATTCCTGTTTCATGCGGTGAGGACGCATTTTGTTTGATAGTTTTTTTCATTCTAATTTTTGTAGTTATAGTGTATGAGCCAGGACCTCAAAAATGGTCGATTGGTACCATTCAAACGGACAAAGACTTATGCCTATAAAAACCTAGGTTATTAACCCAAGTTTTTATTTTTGTGTGATAGCACTGCACAAAGTGTCATCTTTAAGCGTTACATGCCGTTTTTCCCACCCTACCCCCCTAAGAGGACTTTTACTCACTTAGCCTACTGAACATAAAGAAAAGCATTTACAAGTATGTTATGATCCATACAATGCCCAATTTATATGCTCACGTCACACGTTATTGACTTAACAATCACTCTTAACCACCAAATACACGTCATAGTGATCACGTGATAGGTCGAATTGCCATAAAATGCCAAATATACCGAACTACTGTTTTCAGATTGGCAAAAAGATGAAATATGTACCTTCCGAAGTATTTTAAAAGTTATCTCAATGGTTCGACTTTACATTTAACGTTCAATTGTGCAAGCTGATGCAAATCCCTGTCTAAACAATAATATTCTGCCGTAATATTCATTTTTAAACACTCGTTCCCAGTCTCCCAGACTCGCGGCTCTAGCTATTTTTGGCATTGCTGCTTACGATATTGTTAAAAAACTTCAATTTTTACTAATTGAAGTATATTTTTCTGGGAAGGAAACTCATCTTCATGCAAAAAAGCGCATTTTTCTTTATTTGAAGAAACTTTCCTTTTAAGTTTTAGCTACTGCGGCATGCATTCCTATTGAAAATGGAAGTTGCTGTTTCTCTAACAACCCAGAATATTTGCAATCTACAAAGTTCATTAAAAGTCATCATCATCATCTTCGTCTGCTTCATTATCAATAATGTTTGATGAATCGTCTTGAGCTGGCTGGTTGGTGCAGTCGTTTAGCGAGCAGAGATCCGTGCACTTCAAACCACTGTTCATGCAAACACAACTTGGGAGTTCACAGGTCTTCTTACATTTACACGCCAGCAGTTCCAGGACAGCAGAAGGAGCTGGCTGCCCGTCCATCCAGTCGATCACTAGTTCAGTGGATGCAGCGTCAGTGGAGGTCTGTGTTATCCACCCCATACCAACTGGACTGGGAATGTCTGGGTTAGCCTCCAGGCTCCGTCTCCATAAAGCTGCAGGAGTGATGTAATACTAAATTAGTTGTTATCCTCATCACATTTCCTGTGACAAATATTTAATAGAAACAGGCATTGTCAACTAACCCGCTTGGTAGTTTGCACGAAGAATGTGTTTCCGAAGGGAGTCCTGGCAAGGAGGTAGCTGGTGTGACTCCAGTTCCCCATTCTTTGCACAGAACAGCTCGTATCGTGCATCATTCACGTGGCTGGTTGTGTTGCCGACTGGTATGTACATGGAGCAGGTGAACTTCTCAAGCAAAGTGTAAAGGTCCTCTGATACTGTCCAGGACTGGCCAAGCTCTCGGAACGCTCTTCTTGCGCCTTCATTGCTTTTAAGGATTTTAAGAGCCCCTATCTTTCCTTTACCAGCAAAGGCACTTACTGAATCGCACCCTGTAAAAGAATGCAACCCAATCAGTGCCTCGCATATCTCTCGCCCGGTTCTCTGAACTGCTCCTTTGATGTCGACAAGTCGCGTCCTCGTTCTGGAACCGCACTTCATATAGAGTCTAGTGTTGATAATGCTTGAGAAGTTCAAAAGCAAGACAAACACGTCTGTGTCTTCTGAGATCACTGCGACTGCTTCATACCCCTCCTGGGCAGCATGTTTAGCGTGAAGCAGTAGACGAGTGTCAGCTTCCTCCTGGTTACTTGTCAGCTCTGCCACATTCTCGCTTCCCCTTTCAGTTATCTTCCAGCATTCGCTCTCGGCAGTAACAAACAATGTTTTTCCTTTCAGCCTTCTCATGCAGTCTTCTTCTCTCCATTCTCTGGAAATGAACTTGATTAGACTTGTCTTGTTCTTGACCTCCGACAGGAACTTTCTCCACTGCTTGACCAGCTGAGTAGAACTTATATGCGACAGTTGAACTCCCGCAACTTCTCCACGCATGGTTCTCTCTGCGTTCTTAATTGACATATCTCTGTATGTATCGAAAACCACGTCGATTCTGTTGCTCTGGGAACCTTCGTGAAGAACTTTTGTTAGAAGAGAAGAAGCAACCATTGCGAAGGTTGTCTGTCCTCCACCAACGCTCAACTTCTGAACTAGACTCATACCGTCGATAATAGCAGCTGAGTTCTGCGGAAGGCCATCAGCTAACGGTACATCCTTTTGGAGGGGAGTCGCCAGCGCTGCTTTGTTTGTTTTTCGAGGAAACCCTTCTGTAGTTGCTAAAGACCACGGTAATGGCCCCAAGCTGTACTGTAGCAGTTCTCTCACATCAATCTTCCGGCTCTGACCAATGATTATGATCCGCCCAAAAAGAGACCTATCGGCTTTCAAGACCATCGTCCTGCCGTCGGTGGAAACCTTTTTCTTCTGACTAAGGGAAGAAAAGGTTTTCAGTTTGTTCAACTTCATTGTGTCATGAAATTTCTTCTGTGGTGGAGACGATTCCAGACGTTGCTCTTTGAACACTTGATAGGCCTCTTCGCCGACTTTTCGAGCGTTCAAAAGGTCTCTAGTTACATCTTCAGGCGCTTGTTTGGCAGTGGATAAACTCACAAGCTCTTTCCTCTCTGTGAAGGGATTGTTCCAGCCTTCAATCAGACTCTCTATTGTTGTTACTGCTTGCTCGTCTTTGCGCTTCCTGGTAGACAGCATTTCGTCATGATGATAGGATGGGCGCTTGACTTGAACCATGTCTCTCAAATGAGCAAGAAAGGAGCATCGGTACTCAGCTGTCATGTAGAATCTAGTTACCGCTCCTGTCTTTAGACTATACTTGGTAATGCCCCCACTTGACTTGGTGTCCTTGTTGACAGTGACTTCCGTGGTCTGGTCTACAGGGATGCGCCCAAAAGGGCTTTCTCCAGCAAGTTGAACGGAAAATCTTCCATTCATGAAGTTGGAATACACGTTCGGGTGTTCGGAGGGGAGATTTATCATCTGAGCGTAGTAGACAGGTAGATACCTAGCATAGTTTATTTTGTCGTACGCGAAGCACCACGGGATCATGTTACGAATGGCGTAGAGATGTAGCTGCCAGTTACCTTCACGAGATGCTCGAATCAATCCAAGTAGTACATCACCGACAATGTCAATGTACGACATCCAAAAGCAGGACAGTGGGCCATTCTCAGAGCGCAGGTATTGCAAGTATTGCATCCAAATCAGGTGAATTTCTTTGAAAGGATCACTGTTCAAAATACTTTCACACTGTCGGAGTTCTACTTCATTGACCATGTCGCTGACCTTGACTTGGAGGACACGTAGTTTACCCACTTTGTCTGCATGGTTAACTGTTAGCCATGGCACAAACTGCTTCCATACGAGTCGCATAAGAGCTTCGTAGATGTACTTGTGGATGCGAACAGCACGATTATACACCTTCCCTTCCATAACACCACACACGGATCCTCCAGCTAGTATGCCAGATTCGATACAGACATCACTCAAGCCTGCATCTTGAAAGCGCTTCCCTATTATGGACAGTAGGTTGCAGATTGTATGAAATGTTCCTAAGCGAAGAATGATTTTCTCATAAAGCTCTCTGTTTTTCCAAGCAACCTCACATGCTTTGGCATATAATGCTTGATCCAATACAACGACGATCTGGTCTAGATAAAGCCTTTTCCTGATGTCTTCGGACTGGCGCAGGATTTCATTAACGGTGCTTAGCTCTGTCGCTGGGGCATTAATTGTTGGTAAATAAGCCACCACGTCCTCCCGCACATCCTCCTTGCTTCGCGTTTGAACATGAAAACCGGTCCAGCTTGGTACCCTCTGGTCCTCTACATGGGTCTGGCGTGCCACAGCCCAGGTCAGATTCCATGCTTGAGCATTACGAGCTTCTGCTTCCTGGATGTTCATCAGATTGCTGCTCGCTTTAATACGACCTGGACCAACTCTTTCACCAGCGATGTACGTGGGCAAAGGTTGCTCTTCGTGGATGATACTCCTCTGCTTCTGCTTCAAAATTGGAGGCAGCTGTGGAGCTGGTAGATGTGGCCCAAAGACTCTTGGTTGCACCGCTATTCCATTAACTCTGTGGGTTGTACCCCCTCCAGTCAAGGTTTCCTCTAGGCGATCGATGTTGTCCCAAGCTAAATTGGTAAAAACGTTTGGTTGAATGGTTCCTGGCAGTATTGTAGTCTGATTGAGGTTAGCAGCGAGTTTTTGGAGACATAAGGCTGTATCATTCTCTTCTAGCTGGGAATACGACACGCCATGGCCAAATCTATTGAGCATACGGATTAATTCTACATTGCCAGTCAAAGTTTTGACTCCATACGATAGGAGAATCTGCTTAGGTGGTTTTGTCCTGCCGCCGGTCACTGCATAAATAATATCTTGACTGAAGGACTCAAGTAACATTTTCACTCTTGGTGAGGGATTCTTCACGTCACGATTTGATGTGAGTAGTCCTATCAAGAAGCGACGAAGACATTCTGGTACAGGAAACTGATCAACGGATAAATCGGACGGGAGAATAGGCCAGGGCATAGTCCACTTCATATCTAAAATCACATTTCGCAAGTGTTCAGCGCTCTGATCGACGATCGTTTGCATTTCTGTTGCTTGGGACTTAAAACTCATTACTTCCTTTTCCAGGTTAACCATCTTCTTTACTGTTTCCTTGATATCCAGGTTTGCAGGAATAACCAGTAGCTTTCCCTTTTCATCTGGAAAAATTTCCAAAGTGGAACCAAACTCTGACTCTAGTTTCTTTCTCAGGTGTTTCTTCGTTGATTCCTGAAGCTTCTCTGTACCTCTCGATTGAAGAAAAGATTCCAGCTTCTTTGTTAACTCAATCATAGTTACCACAACCTGCGCATCTAAAACATCAGTTCTAATAAAACTAAATAAATCTGAAAAGGCATCATATTCAGCATCATTCTTGGGTTCGCTTTCCTCTGGGTGCTGCTGAGAGGTGGGCCTTGTGTAGTCACGGTAGCACGTTCTATGATAGTGTGCTTCTGCTGCAACGATATCTCTACTTGTAATTGCCAGGATCCGCTCGTCACATCTCTCGGTAGCTATCTGGCGCAGAGTCTGGTCCACCCTTAGCTGAGTAGCTTTTACCAGCTTTTCTAGTGTACGGTTTACATACTTGGGTCTCTCACAGAAAATGCATTCTTTATAGTAGACACGAGATGCGGAGGTCGCACTTCTTTTTCTGGGCCTTTCAAGTAGAGTTTCATCTTCATGAGCATCCTCTTCCAAGGCACGTTTTCTTTTGAGCGACTCTAAATCTCTCTTGATGGTAAATGCACTGCGACATTTCCTATGGTAGAATATTTCAGGCACTTCCCCTTCTTGAGCATTTCTCGCAATTTGAAGGAGGGCCTCATGTTTTCGAATCTCTGCCGCCTCTAACAGCGTTGCCCACGAATCATAACTTTGGGGGCTTATCAAATGGTCATCGTCAACTTTCAAGCCTTCCTTGTGAATAATGCAATATTTACTTTTACGAACGGTTGCTGACATTTCCTTTATAAGTCGAATGAAAAAAGACAAAGCCTATTTTAGCAGATTTCAGCCTATAGCTTTACAAATTACCAGTTTTGTGTGTTATTTGTTAGTTGAGTAGTAAAATATGTGACAACAAAGTTCCAAATTTCCTATCATTATATATGACAGCAAAATTCACCATTTTTACCGGTGCAGTTGCCCTTAATGATCACTTAAGAAACCTTATTTTTAGTTAAAAAACACACACACACACACTGATCTAAATTTCCAGTAGTTTGATGGTCTTGACTCTCCTCGGCGGCCATCTTGAAAATTTCGTCAGTAATGTACACGCTAAGGCTCGTTAACCGCAACTAAAACGATGTAAATCAGAGGATTATAGCCAAATGTAATCATTAAGTTAGATTTTTTTAGTTAAAAGAAGGTCTACAGTATATCAAAAAGGGTGAAGTCTATCATTCTGTTTGTGGCCGCCATCTTGAAAACTTACAGATATTACAAAGGTGAAAATATTGACTAAAATAATGACTTTTGAGACTGAGATTAAAGTAACAAGGGTATCAGTTGAAGGCAAAATGACCTTTGTAGCGTAAAACATAACTTTTGAAAGGCAACAATGTAAAAAAGTATGAGAAATTCCCGAATTTTGAAACTTACCTCTGGTTCGAAGAGAGCTTACTGGATGATGTCAGCGGTTGGTACTGTGGGCTCAAGTCACAAAAATTACACAGGCAGCCCAGAAAACGAAAGCGAAGTGCTGGGATTTAATGTTTGAATTGGTTATCTTAATTTTTAAATGACTTTTTCCTTTGTTTGGGTACTCCATAAGAAATTTGTGTCATAATTTTCTTCTTCCCCTCCCCCCAAAGGTCGGAGACGAGTCACTGACAATTTTTGAAATAAATTCTGCGGCCTCAAGCTAAAATTCAGAGCACAAGAATTGTTTGCAATGGATAATTAAACATGTTTACGGATAATTAAAGGCATCCTTTAAAGGATAAATACTTACTACAGTAAAGCGACGCACCGACCCACCCCTCCCCCCAAAAAAACACAGAAGATGGCAATTTGACCAATGCTATCACACATATTTATAAACTATAGGCTAAGTACATTAAGAAAAACCACCGTACTGTTTGTCCATCAATATGGTACCGACACCCCCCTTGGCTCATACACTATTAAGTGTATTCCACTTTTATGCCCCATAAAACAATATTCTGTTGAAACCTCGGGTTCCCCAATTGGATTTAGTATCTATGAACTTTTCATTGAGGAGTGACAGGACGAGCCTGGATATTTCCTGACGCTCCGGTCGTTTCGCTACATCATAAAGTCGATTTGCTGCAACTAACTTTTCGTATTAAACAGTTTAAAACAATTTAGAATAAACTACAAACGGGTAAGCGGCTTCACTGCGCGGAGAAACGTTCACGACTTTGTAGCGAAACGACTGTATTCTGGGCGAATCACTTAGGCATCATAATCAATTATGCATTGGCGAAAGAAACTAATAAAAAATTCAGCTGCGATTCCAGTGCAGTGCTCTAACCAATTGAGCAACTGCGCAAGTCGCGTCTTTAACTGCGATGATCGTCTTTGCATTTATTTCTTCATTCTTTCAACTTGTTCCCAACAACACGCGCGCTTATGGGGTATTTTAGGGTCAAATAACATCTGGCAATAAAACTGTTTCCTGCTGAAGGTTTTTGAGCAAGCAACATCGCAACATCTATGACATCAGAGGATTCTCGCTACGAGGCTAGCCGTGCATATGTAAAGCTTTTTAAATCTCCTAAAAAAAATGGCCGCCGCGTGAGAAAGGTCTATTATTTCTTCTTTTTTTTTTCAGTGTACATGGGAGGTACACAGCGTCCGTCCTTCTTACTGGCGTTACCTGAATGTGGTAACAGGCAAGAGGTTGGAGCAAACACATTATTCTCTTATGTATTATCTAAATGATAATTAAACTGTTGTGTTGTACAGCGTAACAAAAATAGCACTTAAAGTACACTGCTAGAATACTCTAGAGAGGTAGGCATGTCATATAAATGAATGCTAGAGCAAACCCATTACTTGGACAGGGAGAGAGTCAGTTCCCTTCTTCGTTGACTCTTCGGCGCCTCTTAAATGTCTTTGGCAAATTTTTCGTCTCGTTTTGTTCAACTTGGAACTGCCCTTCTGTCTAAAAAGGTGTGACGGATATGGCGAACCGTATAAACTAATGGGCTAACCTTAAGCCTACATTGTATAATTCGTGCTCTTTTTTTAATGAAAAAAGGCCTCTGTTTCGTTCTTAGTACTCAGTGAAATCCAAGTCGTTAACACACTACCAAAGACAATGCTAGCAGTTATACGTTTAAGTTGGCATGCAGGTACATCAGTGCTCGACTTTCAGAAAAAAATCTTAGGGCCAACTGGCCCCCAAGTTTTCATTTTTGGTCGTCAGAACAAGTATTCTAGTCGCCAAAAATTATATTTAAGAACTAATGGGATAAAATTAACTTAACATCTTTAACTTAGCCTTAACAGAGAATGAATGGTTCAGACTTTCTTTGAACTTTCTTTCGAATGGTTTTCGCTGACGCTCGATTACCAGCCGGTGTTCTGTAAAATGAATCCGCACTCAAGCGTAAATCTCCTCAAACAGGTATTCAAGCTCAAGGTTCAGGAAATGGAATACACATTAAAAAAACAAAATTTAGGAATCACAAAAAAACTTATTTGGGTTATGAAAACGTAGCTTAGATTGTTGGAAGAAATCGTTAAAGCCTTTAGACAAATCGTTAAAACGTTTAGACAAACCGTTAGAGCGTTTGGGCAAAACGTTAGAGCATTAGAAAAACCGTTAGCTATCCGTTAGTTGTGTAAAGGATAGCAAGTTATCATTAGTGTACGTTTACCCAAAGAAGAAAGTCACCTATCTTGGGGGCCAGGTTGGCGACCAGGCGTGAAAATTTAGTCGCCACTGAGTAAAAGCTGGTCGCATTGGCGACCCCACGGGTCGCAACGTCGAGCCCTGTACATGCAATAACAAGGCGGGGAATTGAGCAGTTAAGAAGTCCTTTCAGGTCCAAGTTGTTCTAAAGGTGGATAGCGCTATCCACTGGATAAATTACTATCCTAAGGATAGCGCAATTGGTTTTCGTAATACTTATCCTATGGATAGTGATTTATCCGGTGGGTAGCATTATCCAATTTTTGAACAACCGGGGCCAGATCTTTTTCTTTTATTTCCCATGAAAGTAGCTGCGCATGATCCTCATGGTACCCGGGGAAATCCTCATTGCCGGCCCTGAATGACAGACATGCGTAGATAATCTTAAAAGAAAAAAGCCAAGATCATAGACTGATATTCAATTAAAAGATAAAAAAAAGCTAATACTGGAAAATGTATAAATGATTCTGATGTTGTGTGGCGAGCCAAAAGGGCGTCTGTGTAGGTGCCTGATCCTGAACTGATCAGTGTTTCAGAATGATTTTTTTTTTGGTTAAAAATCGCCGGGCCGAAAAGTGTATAGTTTTTACTACATAGTTGATTTTGTAGTATTCTATGAAAACCACAAGTTAAAATTTCTTTAGCTGATAAGGTTTCCACCTTGCCTTTTTGTAAATACATTTATGGTAGATCAGGCAAGCAGTGAAATCCATATAATGGTCGCACCATTAATATATTATACCATTCGAGTTTGAATGTAAATATTGGTGTTTGTTTCACACAGAGTAGTCTCAGATTTAGATCATTTATCAATTACTGGATTAGACTGAGTATGATATGAATTATAAAGGTCTTGTAGAGTGTTATCCGCCGGACTCTGAGGTAGATAACTCCCTATTATTCTGCATAATTCCTCGTATCGTATTGAAACCGAATTCAATAATCCTTTTATTATTCATTTAGAACATTTCCATGGTCATAACATTCTTATCTCTACGTATAATTTCTTCATTAGGTTTCCTTCAGAAAAAAAGTTGAAATCTTTTAGCAGCTTTTTGTGTATTGTTGCTTTCTTTTCCATCGACAATTTGTTTATAAGGTCTCCTCATATTGTTTCCTTATTTAATATATTATAGGACGATTGACCGTAATCGGCCATTGTTGATTACTTCTCAAACAACGTTTCTTTCAAATGTGGTCACCGGTAGCTCACTACCAAAAAAAATAACGGGCAGATTTAAGCCAATCAGAAACGGAGAAATATTGTAAATAAATGTAAAAAGTAATCATCCTCGGAGACCCAGGGGTAGCTGATTCGAGAATAGATATTCAGGGCACTTACTCTAATTCCGTGATTCTGATTGGCTAAAAAATATTTTGTAGCCAATTAAAAGCACGGAATTTGAATGCTTCCGAAACTGGTTCGACAAGAGTATGCGCCTGGGTGCTCTCACGTGACGACAGTGACGATGGGTTAGCAGATATAAAAGATGAATTGACCAATAGCTGAGCGGCAAATTGAGGCCGGAAGTCATACTCAGTTTTTTTTGCGCGCGCTTTGCTAAATTTGCCTTACGTAAACTTTGCAGGGGTTTCCCCGTTAGCTGCCCCCGGTCTCTTAGCATGATGCTCAGTATGTGTTTGCAAAGGATTATGATAGGCGCGTTAAAAGCAGTTTAATTGTAACATTATCTTTATTTTGTATTCTACGAGAAAAGCAATATAAACAAGATTACGTAGTAAATATTGCCGCATCCAGTTGTTATTCTTGTTAAACAAACCTTGATTCAAAAGTGTGTTATTAAACGATCAAGACAAGAGATGTAATGATTTTTTAACCTTGTCTATCTGTGATTTGACTCTTTCCCCACACCAATGTGGTGCACTTATGTCAGTATAACTAGATTCATGTTAATTAAGAGTAGAAAACGTGAATTTCTTCCGGCTGTGTTTATAGTGCGAAGTGTAATTATATATCAGAAACAATGTAACAATTACATGTAGAGTCAGACCGATCAAATACTGATTAACAAGCTATAAGTATCATTTTGGTGGTCTTGCCGGAATTTTTAAACGATCTGCCGGCTGCGTGTTTAGGTGTTTAGTTAGAGTTAACAAGTTTTGTTAGGTAATGTTTTTTAGTTTAGGGATATAGAAAGTAAGTTGAGAAACGTTTACAAATGTTTCTTTCTTATGTGCATGCAGGTTTTGTGAGATAAACAGAGCAAAAATTGATGAGCTGTATGGCACAGACAGCACCAGATTATTCCCAAAGGATGATTTGTACAAGTCATTAAACAGGAAGAGGTAGATGAAGCATTATTGACTTTCATTCCCTGTACCTGCGTTACCCTTATCCAGCGGAAAAGCGCTCTTTGACTTCCAGCTGTAAGTGGACGCCCATGCGCAGCAAGCCCTAGAATTCGGAAGGCCTTTGATTTTAGCAGAGCTTCTCGTTGATCGTTTGACTGGATAAGAACAGCACTGGGAACGATAGTAAATTTGATCAGTGATTCAATAAGAAATGGCAGATAACATTTTATACATGTGTTGGACAGGCAGTTTATTTAGAAAATTGTAACTTAAGGCTGAAATATAATTTAAAGTACAAATATTGAAAAGTTCAATTAATTAAATGCGCACGCTATAAGATTTCTTAACAGGTTGTACGTAAGGAACTCAAACTTGATTGTAGTCGATTCATTTGCGTCTGTTTCCCATATAGTTACAGAGAGTGACTTTGCCAGTCGTTATTCCGGTGGTAGATAGTAGCTGAATGCTCTTAGCGGTTTGTAGCGTAGGATCTTATAGTGTACCACAGACTATTTCTTTAACCGATAGCTTGATGGCGAGGTATTGTTAGGCCAAGCTTAGACGCATTTCAAATGCAACGCCACTCATGCGCCGTACATTGGTGCGCATAAAAGCGGCGTTTGAATCAAATGCCGAACTGAAATGATAAAGTTTTGTAGGGAAAAAACGTTATAGAATGTTCAAAGTCCCCTGATTTACCGAAGATCGTCGAGAATAAGCGCTACAGGCGGCCATCTTGACCGAGTCTAGCAAATAAAGATTGCTATCTCATATACTCAGGAGGCGTGCGACGGTTTGGGAGGAAAGCCCGACGCCCTCCCCCTCGGTACATTTGAAACCAGTTACAAAATGCCTGCCAGTGACGGCGAGCACTCGATCTCGACGATCTTACGGAAGAAACGGGGACTGTGAACAGTCTAAAAACGATACGATTGCCGCCAGAGGTCGCATTTTTCGATAATGGACTGGTAGTTAATTCATAAGTCACTGACGCATAAATTGATGAATATATAGCTCCTCCTCCTACCAATTATCCAGACTGGTATCTCTTTGGAAGTAAATTCGCCCCATAGTCAAATTTTATTAAATTAGAGTGAAGGGTTTTAGTTTCAATGAACGTTGCGGTGCTCTCTGGGTGGGGAAATGGAACACAAAAACTTCTTTTCATTAACTGGGTTAAATAAGGACAATGTCGACACTGCAACAGATAACTTTTGCGCCGGCAGGAAAACCATATCGGATACTGAGAGCTTCTGTTCACATACACTGAGAACGATGATTTCAGTGCGGTTTCCGTAACGGAGCGAGGCTGCGCCGCGCCGATCTTGAAAGTGGAGCGTCACTGAGATATCGGAAATGTTCCTATGCCACTCGTTGGCACAGTGTTAGCAGGGGTTCATCCCTAAGTAACTATACCGGTCAGGTTTTCTTGTCGACTTGAAAATCCACCCACTATGGTGTAGTCAGTTTACGACCGTAAAATGTTTGAAAAGCTGACGTTTTGATCTCTATCCCTTCGTCAGAGCGAATAGGTCGGCCAAGGAGGTTGAGCGACCTAGTCTGGGACCGGGAAACAATGTTCTCACAACTTAAAAAACAGTCATGTTGAATGGCCCTTATGCATAATTACCACAGAAGAGCAAATTTCACAACTAAGCATCCTTTTAACTCTACTGCCTTGGGCATACATTTATGGTAGCCATAGCAATTTACCATTTTAAAACAAAACTCAGGATGCATGGTGAAATTTGCTAGTCTGACGTAAGTGAGGGTCTTTCTAAAGTCGAGGAGTTGGGGCGTGTCCGCGAGCGGTCGTCTTTCTTTCGTGAGAGCGTCGACTAAAAAAGTAAAATTACCCACGTCATTGCATCACGTACGTAAACAAGCAGTTTTCACTCCCCCTTTCCCCACGCCTGCGATTTTAAGCAAAGCTTAACCAAGTCACTGCCTAAAACTCCAATGGAATCTAAGCTCCACGACTATTTATAGCAGAAGCTTTTTATAGTTAGAGGCATCCGCAAAGAGTACCTTTAATGTGTGCGGTATTTATTAAGTGATAGGTCAGATAGGTAAATTTATAAATTAAGTAAATTAAAATTAGTGGGTATTTATGCGCAATTTATGCTTAATTATTGCAATGCAAGAGCTTACAATTTACATGAAGAAACGGACTCACACATCACTGTTCGATCAATTCTTTTCATTTTTTAATGAATTATATTAGTTTTTCAAGTGTGTATATGTTAAGTTGATATTTTTCCTGATTCGTTCATAGTGCATGGGAAGGCGAAAACAAACGTGGATCCTTTTCTTTTTCACAACTACCTTTTTATTGCAAAAACCTGAAGCGAATAAAAAACGCCAATCAATTTATAAGCTTTCTGTTTTCATTTCTATCAGTATCCTCTGTGTCAGTCTGTGTATCTTTTTACAGAAGGACGTCTTCGTGATCATGATCGTGTTTTGTTGTCATATTATATGCAATCCCGGCCTCAGCACGGCAAAAATTGTGATTTATTATGTTCATCAACAGAAGTAAGAAAGTAAGGAAGAAAAGGGGGGGGGGGGGAAGACCATTATATCTCTTCCAACCCCACCCACAACTTGTCGTGGACGGGGCACCCAACTCATTCGAAAGTTTATTCCTCGTATTATAAAAAGTGTTTGTACTTGACATACCGAATTAAGCCTTTACCTTTCAGTTAAATTTTAACGTGCTCTGTTTAGTTGTTCGAAATGTGATATTTTAGTTATGGCCTGGTTAATAATGACTATCGTTATAATCCTTTTGTCAACTAATCGCATCACTTAAGATAAAAATTGTCGCCTCTGCCTCATGCAGCGGTATCACCTACCGCTTTTTAAGGAGGAAAACAGACAACAAACAAAAGTGAAGGAACGAAATGTCTTTTCGGAACTTGGGTTCTTTCCGTGGCTTTTAATCCTGTTAACCACAGCTCCCCAAGCCCAGTTACAGAAATTTTCCACGCCAACGTAGGAAACACGAAGGCTCCTAGGTCGGAAACTTCAGATCCTTGTCTGTTCCTGGCCTGGCTAGTTTCACTCCTGTTAAACAATTGTTGTTTCAAACTTAAAACTATACTGCTGTTTACATCTATTTTAATGACGGATACTTTTCCCTTACAGACGAGTACAAAAAAACCGCATGACCTGCTTCAAATTTAGAAATGAGATTTTAATTTAGTGTCTTTGGTCGAAGGCCAAGAAAACGACTATCTTTTACAACGGCAATTTATAAAGACGCATTGAAAGATGTCTTTCACCCTTATCCCGTAAGCCCTGAGAGTGATCAGCATCAAATTTCTCCTTGTAATATCAATGCTTTATAACGCAGAGTGGTCATGAGAATTACGGACATGATCACACAAGATGCATTTGCTTGATATTTAATCAACTTCTCCCCACTACTTCTGTAGGAAATGAATAGCAGCAAGAAATGAGAATTCAAATTTTGATCTTAGGGTTCAAAGGGTTAAAACTATCATGAAGTCTCAGGCTAATCTCCACAACTGCGACGGGGGCAATCGCTATTTCTAATCTTTTCTCTTACAGACGAAAGTTATCCTCCTTTTAATACTTTTGCGGTGCGTGTTAGCATCACAGAGAGACAAAACCAACGGCGGGTTCACGCCAAGACCACATTTATTTGACACTGAAAGTTGTAAACCTGTGGACGAAATCCTTAAATGTCACCACTCAAAAAAACCTTTTAGGTAGAATTTTAGAATGGTACTACTTATTTCTGAGGAAAGTTTGCAAAAAGAAATTTTAGAGTACACCAAATCAGTGAAAACAGTGCCGTCGTGCAGAAGAAAGTTCCATTGATGCCAGCTTGGTCTGGAAAAGTGTGCAGCTAGGATGTGCATGTTTTTTTTTTTTAGTTTCTGTTTCTTATGATTAGCTGAGAACTGTTATATTTGTTTTCACAATTGTAACGAGGATTATAAGGATCATCAATGAAATCCACCAACACAAACCTAAAGTGTTCACGTGTAATTGCTTTTGACATGTAGTCAATTTAAAATTGTTCATTCAAGAGATGGCAAGACTCAGAAGAAAAGACCAAAAGAATGTAACTGTGTTACACCCTTGGGGAGCGCCAAGACTGGATCTTAGTGCGGTATTTTGCCCTGAAACCTCGACTTCTGATTTTTTTTTTTTCGTCGAAGAAATCAAACGTGCATTTTTAACGATAAACTTAATGTTTTTTTCGATAGGGCGAATAATTGGTTATTACGAGAAAAACGGTTTTATGGAGCCACGCTGTTTTTACCTTTTGGGGGCGAAATCGCGGTGTTTAGTTAGTGGTGTAAGCGTGCAAATTAAACCTCTTAGACCGTTCGTCAGGTTCAAAATGGTAATATTTGCCTTTCAAAATATTGCAAATTGTAATTTGGAGATTATTTTGAGTTTTGACTTCGGCTTGTTTTGGGAGTGAAAGCCTGGGCTAAGTGATCGGAAACGCTGTACAATATACCTTGATGTTGGCTTCATGCCGGTTACTTCATGCGGGTGGAATGTTAACGGTGCCTCCCAAAATGTTCTTCCAACGCTAAAATTGCACAACGTCCAGAGCTACGTCACTCCCCACCCACATTAAAGGAACAAAAAAATAAAAACCAGAAATGCTTTGTATTCTTTAATCCATCCGATTACTTGAATAGTGGGCAACGCCAACCATTATTCCGGCAGAAAAAGGGAAGTTTGTATTTGAATGGTTCAAATAAAACACAGGCTAATAAAGAATGGCGCGGACGTTTTCTATGAACCATGAATCGGTGAATACTTCATGATTGATTAGACCTTCGGAAAGTTCTACTGAACAGTTTTCGTTATTCTAAGCACAAACTTGAAACTTAGGAAATATCACGAAACTTTAATTATAGTTTCCTCCAGTTTGACGTCGAGGCTGCCCATAAAATTTCATATGTTGGCAAGAGAACAATTTCCGCGGCCATTACAAAACCATTATATTAAAATAAAATCGTGTATTAGCCTGTTGTGAAAGAGAAGGTATTGAAATGGGCTGCTATTGGTGGTCGTAAGGTGGTTTTGTCATTAAATTCTCATCATTTATGAAATCTAGGCTCATTGATCGGTAGTCAATTCAAATTTGCCTCGTTAGCATTTCATTCTCAAAGTGGTGAACATTTTTATTCTTCTTAAACATGACAGATGTTCTGTTTGATACAGAAGAGCAAAGAAAACCACCAACGAAAAATAAATTCTACCAAATCATGGCGATTACCCTAAAATTCATGCAAAGCGGAGTTTGTTGGGGAAAAAAAAGATATCTATTTAGACTGGTTATGGAGTAGACTTAAGAGCAGGGAAGATGGTTATCGTCTTTACCGACAATTAATTATGTCATTTTGGGCACAATACGCGTATATACGGCGCGGTGTTGCATATTGAAAGTAAATGCCGGATTTCAAATCATTTTTTAATGCACACCAAGTGGGAACTTCCTTTGCCCTATTAGAGTCTTTTCTCTTTGTTATGTTTCGTTGATTTTCGTTGAATTTCGATTTTCTAACTTCGGCGGAAAATATAGAAGGATTATTAAAGATAGCAGTACATAAATCCCACAAAATGAATATTTAAACAGCTGATTTAAAATCTCTTTGTCTTGCACTAAT